AAGATCTGTTCAGAAGATCTTTTCATGCTTCTTCAGAAGCTTCTTCATACACTTATTCTTCTGCATATCTTTTATCTTGGTTTTCTCTGCTTCCAGGTTCTGTATGACATACAGAATGCTTTCAGATGAGATCTTGTGAATTATTCTCTTTGCTTATTAATATATAAGCAGATTTAATCCTTCTATATCAGAGATGTGAAATGTCCTTCTCATATCAGTTGATAGAATTGTATGAATCATTTTCTTTCTATCAGTTAACTGCATATGACATGTACATCATTGAATCTGTGAATTGAATCTTTGAAATCAATTGAGTCTGAGAATAAGGTTGTATTTCACATTCTGCAGCTCTCACACTTAAATATAGCAAGATCATTCTTCAAAGTGCAAGAGAACTCTTACTTTTGCAGGTGATATCAGATATCAGTTATCAGATAATCTTATGCATTGAAAATTCTTCACTCAGTGAATCTCTTTCAATCTTCAGATTATATAATTATTAATATATTGTGTAGAAGCTTCTGTGTTCACTAGCACTTTTGCAGTCATCTCTCAATTCTTACTCAAGTGCTCTCTATACATTAATATTTCAGGCCTCAAGGCATTGAGATGAGTGTTCACTTTATTCTCACTTACACTTTATTCAGAAGCCTGCTTCTTCTTTACATTTACAGAATTCAGAGAGTCATCTAATACAGACATCTCTTTCACTTTGAAGACTTTTCATAGAATATCAGTGAGTGTCTCTGAGCTCACTAATTCTGCTAGTTTTTTGACTTTCTTGCTTCTCTTGACTGCACATGCTGAATGTAATCTTTTACATTATAATTTTAGCATCTGCAGTTGAAGCAAGCTCAATGCTTATAATATCAAGATTTTCACTTAGAGAATTTCTTTTTCAGAGAATTCAGTGCTTTAGCAATGACATTCAGATCTAGATTCATTATATTCAGATATATGACTTGTATTATAGAAGTCTGATTATCTATTCTCTGCTGAGACATACTTGATTACAGTATTTTCTATTATAATTGACTTACTTGTTTCTGTATAATAAGAATGTTATATACTTTCTTCACTGTGTCTGACTGTAAGATTAAGTATTTTCATTCTGCTCTCAACTCAGATGTAAGATCATGAATAAAGATCTATAAACAGAAAGATGTTAAAAGCTCTTTATTCAATACAAGATAGTATAAGCTGAAGTGTGTGAAGTACAATGTAAGATCACTCACTTATCTACACTCAGTGAAGTGTTTATAATACTTATCTTATATATTCACTTTCTTAAAGTTATACAAGATTCATTTGAAAAACTCATTTCATATTTATAAGAATGAATATCACTCTGAATCTGTGAGATTTATCTTTTTATCAGTTATTCATAATAACTTTGCTTTTCTATATAGAAATACAGCAGATCTTAAGACTTGTTGAAATTTCATTGACTGTTTATCTGTGAGTTCATATTCAATCTGATAATATAATCACATCTGACTTAGTCAGCTGATTGCAGCATTATTTTTTCAGTTGCTATTAAAGCTTAATAACTTCAGCAGATCTTCTGACTTGATATATTTTATACTTGAATTCTCATTCTGCACAGTGATCTCTGATGATATGTATACTTCTAAAGAGATTGTGAATAATTATGATGAGATCTTCAGATTCAGTGTAGTTATTTATCTGTATAAATATTTAATCTTCTGCTACAGGCCTAAGATCTGATTTTCTCTATTCTTATTGATGATAATAATTGTGTTAATAAAGCTCTTCATAGTGAATACTTGATCTGCAGTGAATATTAATTATTGTTTGACTTCTGCCTCAGTCTGTCACTGTATATACAAGACCTTGATTTTGTTTAGAATTCTTGTATATATATAAAGCTTTAATTTCAGTTCAGCTGTCTCAGCTGCTTTTCTTACTGTTTTAAGTAATCTCTCTGAGAGATTCTGCATATCTTTCAGTTCAGATAGCAGAGAAGAGTGTTGTTTATATTAACTAGAGAAGATATTCATTTCAGTGATTTCTCATTGATTATATGATATCTATTGTTATATCACTGTGTAGTTATATAATTTCTGTTATCATTATATGACTTCAGTGATAATCACTCTCTTCTTTTATTTCTTTGAGTGAAGAGCAGTCTTCTTTGAATCTGATTCATCACTCTTATTTCTTTTCTCACATCTCATCTGTTTGCATATGTGGCATTCATCTGAGTGTGAAGTTTTTCCTCAACAAGTGAAGTAGTAGTATCAATTGAATGCTCTTTCACTCACTGCTCTTTGTATACTATCTTTTGAGATGTTCTAGAATCACACTGGCATGATAACTATGAATTGCTTTGTAGACAGAATTATCACACTCTGAAGAAGCCTGCACTTCTCACCAGTTTTTAGACATGCTATCAGATGTGATTCAAAGATTGCTTAAGCCAGTGTATGATTACAGGTGTACACCGGCTTCTTATATTGTAGTCTCATATACTAAATTAATTAGTGTATGCTATGGCCCCTTTACACTTGTACACGTACGCTAGTAGTTCGGAAGCGGCCGTGTTATTATCCGACAGTCGTACGTTCTTCCGAACCACAACTTTACATGTTTTTTTAATAGCTAGTCCCAGTGAGATTCACGCCAAGAAATGTATGAGATCAGACTAAATGAAATCAAATGTGAAATTCATGATTCCAGCGGCCAGTCTATCTGAAATTGATGAATGTATAATAGTTAACTTTACAGATATAGAAAAAACTCTGAGAACTAAAAGTTGTCAGATAAATGTCATAGTCTCTGACTATATACATCTATAATTGAAGAATAATAATAATAATAATAATAATAATAATAATAATAATAATAATAATAATAATAATTCAGATATTCTCTGTTCAGCTTACAGAGTCTCTTAATTTATTCTCTAGATAAATCTTGAGAACAGATTAATAAGATCTCTTATAATTATTCTCTAGATAATTCAGTCAGTTCTTGACTTCAGTGTAGTAGAGATCTGTTATTATATAGATAACAGCTTCTTCATCTTTTATATTACATAGCTGAGCTTGTGACTCAATTTTAAATACAAACTTGTAAAAGCTTTTATAGATTGTAATTTAGTAAGTAATCTTAAGTAGTTATAGCTTAAGAAAGTTTCTTTTCAGTTCATAGATATCTCTAAAGATTATATCTAGAGACTCAGTTCAAGAATATTTACAGATAGTAAGTATTTCTTATAGAAAAATAGGTTGATTCTGTGAGAGATGCTCAAGAATGTTCTTTACTAAGATAAGTTTATTCATGAATTTGAAGAGTTTCTCTGTTATAGATACAGAGGATAATATTCTGTAAGTACTTAATAAGTTCTCTGAAACTTCTTTTATAAGAGTTATTCATGATTTAGATAACTACTTCTGAGTATCTACAGTAGAATTTATAGAGATTAAAGTATATAAGTTTCTAGTTCTTTCAGTTATAACAGATGATTACTGACTGACTGAGCTTGAAATGTAAGAATAAGTACTTATAGATAGACTGGCCGCTGAGATTATAAATTTCACATTTGATCTTATTTAGTCTGATTTCATACATTTCTTGACATGAATCTCACTGAGACTGACTATTAAAAAAACATGTAAAATAACTATATATCAGATCTTAAAATGAAATCATGACTTGAAAAAAATGAGAAAGTGATCTCATTTGATCTCTTTTAATCTCATTCTTAATATAAAGTTACTATTTTTAGACATTTTAAGTTTTTTTTAGACTATTTTTAATTTTTTAAAAAGTAATACTTTTTGATAACACTCAAATAAGATTTAAAGTTATTTAAAGCAATAAAAATAATTTAAATTGAGAAGTGAAAATCATGATCTTATTTGAAAAATATGATAAGAGTAGATAGTAAGTCTCACTGAGACAGTATGAGACTACTAGTTAATGTTAAAACTATGTAATGAGATTAGATGAATTGATAATAAAACTATCAAAAAATCTGATTCTGATCTCAGACACAGTCACACGGTCAGTCTACTCATAAATAATTATTCAGATGTTTGCAGCTTGATATAATATATACTGTTAACTACTAGAAGTATTCATAATAGAAAGATAAAATGTAGAAGTTAAATATATAATAGCATTTAAGCTGAGTTATAAATAGTATTCATGAACTTCAGTCTATATAGTTGTGTGTAGTCAAGAGCTGCTAACTCTATTAATTACATGAGAGATAGAAATAGAGGTAAAGAATCTACAAGAAGCGGGATTTCTTACATAAGCTCACTTATACAGCTTCTCAAACAACTACTTCTACATAACACTACTAACTAGTCACTGCTTCGGTTCTGCTATGTTACACTCAGTTTAAGAATGTTTATAGATAGTAAGTATTTCTTATAGAAAAATAGCTTAATTCTGTAAGAGATATTTAAAAATATTCTTTATTAAGATTAATTTATTTACAGATTTAAAGAGTTTTTCTATTATAAATATAGAGAATAATATTCTATAAATAATTAATAAGTTCTTTAAAACTTCTTTTACAGAGATTATTTATAATTCAGATAGCTGCTTCTAAGTATCTACAGATAACAGTAGAGTTTATAGAGATTAAAGTGTAGAAGTTTCTAGTTCTTTCAGTTATAATAGATAATTACTAACTGACAGAGCTTGAAATATAAGAATAAGTACTTACAGATAATTATTCAGTGATTCACAGCTTGATGTGATATATACTGATAGCTACTAGAAGTATTCACAGTAGAAAGACAAATGTAGAAATTAAATATGTAATAGTATTCAATCTGAGTTATGAATAGTAGTCATGAACTCCAGCCTATATAGTTGTGTGTAGCTAAGGGCTGCTAACTCTATTGATTACATGAGAGATAGGAATAGGGGTAAAGAATCCGCGAGAAGCGGGATTTCTTACAACAGGCCGTAGCAGCTTCCTCTACAGGCGGTCACATGAGGTGTACATTTTTTCAATCAATCATATCACAGAATGAGGCCTGCAAGATCGCGCCTTCTATTCTAATCAGGTTTTTAATGCATCTAACATATTGCTTCGCTTCACTCCGCAAATTAACTCTATGTTCTTTCTGTATAGATATAATGTAGCTGGCTTCTCTCACATGAATACAAGAGATTAACCATTCTACAGTTCTTAAGGGTAGCTAGCTTTGATCATAAGATTCATATACTCTGTACAATAAACTAAAGTTAAATGCTTAAAAATTCCCCAAATGGTGCTACAGATATTATTGCACATATTATACTCTGTATGAACTTTGATGGTTTATAACGCTGTTTTCAAATTTCTAAAAATCACCAAATGATCTCTTCTGTAAATAATTCTTGCATATCACTAGCATGATTCATAATAATATTGTGTAACACCATTATATCTCCTCATATTTCAGATTGACATTTGCCATTTCATAGGAAAACTAGGGTAGCAAATCCCAAAACAGTTACAGGTATTGAAAAAAAAAAAAAAAAAGAAAAGAAAAAAGAAAAAGGGGGGGAAGAAAGGAAAGGAGAGAGGGGCAGAGAGAAGGACGGAATGAGTGGAATGAGGGAAGCGGGCGGGATAATCAAGTGAGACAGTAGGAATGGTGGATAGACTATGCACGAGCAAGCAGCAAAGATGGAGTGTACACTTCACTGTAGATTCAATATCAGCGGGAAATGAATTGCGGGTGACGGTAGTAAGTGACAGTTTAAAGAGATGAATAGCTTTAAGCGTAGCCATGGACTTTCTTGGGCTTCATCGCCCATCCAGTTACGCACCGCCACCCCGCTCCAGACTGCTGCCCCTCCGCATAAACACCAGGGACCTCATCCAGTAGTTTTCCCTTCTCGCGGCCCATCTCCATCTGGAGTTTCAACATCCATTGTTCCCACATCCACCCACCAAGCAGGCCAGTGATATTGGCTATGTTGCTCGTAGTTCCCATAAGTTCACCGGCTTCAGGATGGATATCTGCTTGCGTCTGAGGGGCAGAGGTTCCCGCACCAAGAGGTAGAAACATCCATGCTCGCTTGGCTGATGAGAAATTGGCTTTCTGCAGTCGAGACATGAAAGACTTAGTAGGGACAGGATCGTACCCGCGAGTCTTAAGGTTAAACCCAAATTCAACAGATACGGCGGCACCATACGATCCAGCGCGAATGATCTCCGAATCCATCAGGAAGAACTCGAGGATACCTCCTGGTTTGAGGCATCGAAAGCATTCCTTCAAACACAGATCGTACTCGTCCTGCTCTTCAGCATATGGGCGATCGGTCTTTAACAAGGCGTGGAAAGTACGAGAAGATATGACGTCGAACTGATTGTCGCGAAATGGAAGTTGCCAAACATTTTGGACAGAGACCTGTCGATGGTTTGAAGGCCCGTTCATTCCTGGATTCACAATGTGCTGCTTCGTAACAGCCGTGTAAACTTTGACGTCGCGGTGATCCCTAGAGACATGCCACGCCCAGCCGCAAGATGGTTCGCCACCAAGGTCTAGCACTCTAATTCGCCGGGATCCGGCACTCTCCACACCTCCCAGAGGAACCTTTGCTCTAGCAAGCCGCTTCACAGCCGGGGCAGACAGGAGAGAACCACCCTTCAAAAATTTTAGAGCTTCCATTGCCCACACTGAACTGCGTAGCTGATGTGTTGCATCCTGTTCCTTCTCCAGCTTGGAAAACTTAGCTTGGTCAGCAAGGATCTGGGGGACGGTGGAATTCCGGGGAGCTTGGGAGAATGGCCCGCGATAAGGAGGGCGAACAGGGTCATTCAGGGCATATTTCCCAACGAGGCCGTCGATGTGCTTGTCCATATAGCTGAGCCGCGTTGCCTGAACGGATTCGAAGCGCAAGTTGCCATGGGAAAAAGCATGACGGGCATTAGACTTGCGTACTAAGCGCTGAAAGGCTCGATAGAACAAGGCGCCACCCTCCACAAGATAACAGGGGGACTTTAAACAAGCGCCGTTTTCCAAAATAGTGGCTAGTCCAAGCGACTTCCTGGTCGAGTTTGGCGAACTATCTTGTGGGCTTTCCGCGACAATTAATGCCGGTGCGCCCTCAACCTGGTTGACGGGATTAGTCTCACGTAATGCGGACAGGTAGGCTGTCTGGGCTGCGAGCCAAATGCTTGTACGGTCGAGATTGGAAGTAGCCTGAAATTTCAATTCTTCTTCGTATAGTTCGTCGTAGTCATCCGCGATATGACCAATGCTGGAATTGCGTTCCCTCCCGACGGAATCAAGGGACGTGTATAAACCATCGAAGAGCAGGTAATTTGCTGCCTTCAGGGAGGCAGGGTCACTGCGACCCAACGGATACGTAGTGGGAAAAAAGCCATCAGATATCATGGGCTGGTTCCAAGGGCAATTGTAGAAATTCTCCGCTGTAGCAGATGAAGGCGGTGGGATGGTAGAGAAACACCAAGTATGGCGTGCATCGCCTCCTAGTGACGAAAAGAAGCCGCCCGGGGATGGAATGCTGAGAGGCGTGAACGGATTTGAACCAGCGGAAGCAGGAATCGCAGCGTTCATGCTCCGGGGTCTGGCAGAGTACAGTTTCACTTCCTGCATTTCGCCAATTTCGTTGACTCCAGAAATATCAGAGTCGCGATCACTATCGTTATCTAACTCGATATGTTGAAGGGTGGCAAGAGCGTTTGTTGGAAGCTCAACACCTATGTTCGAACTATCCGTTGACGAGGGTCTATTGATTTCCGGGATATCCAAAACACTTTGTACGTCAATTTTGGGTTCGCGCTCCGGAATACGCGGGAAATGACCCAGGACATGGCTCCAGTCTTCGGGGGGTTCCATCTCAATCTCAACCTGAGGACTCATGGTCGCACTGTTGGGGGATTCGACGTTCCCATTAGTATCGGAGTCAACGTAAAAGCGTAGATACTGTGCATCCCAATCAACGTCTGATGCCACTTCCAGCTCAGGAGTTCGCGGTGCGCTCAAAGTAGAAGGTTGGTCCGAAGCTGCACTGCCATCTAAGGATGGAGGAGCATATACCTCCGGAACAAACCTTGGCAGGCGAGAGAGAGCTTCTGGCGAAACGGGTATTTTGGGCGGCGGGGTTGGCGGAACAGGGGAATGCTTGTGGAAAGAATTGAGATTGGCCCAATGTGTCGAGGAAGGGGTAACAATTGCGGGATATTTTTTGCGGCTACTACCTGACGAAATCGTGGAGAGTTTTGATGACTTGGTAGATTCGCTGTTCCCCTGGCTGCAAAGGGACGGACAACTATCGCTCAGTTCCCCTTCATCATCCTCATCAGTGGCATCGTAGAGATCGTCAAAATCGGGGTTCTGTCTAGGGCCTAAGTGCATTGAATGGGACGAATCCGTAGATCCTGGAGATACAGCGCGATGTACAGGCCCGAGGGGTGAGCGGCGGGTCGGTCGGGTCTGATTCACTACTGAGTGCCGACCAGCGGCCGCGAGCTTGTAATCAATGGTCCTTTTTCCCTCAAACTGGGACTCTCGTTTATCTTCGATTATGGTATTAAGGTGTCCACTTCGACCCAGCCGAACTTGTGGCTTTGTTTGGATGAAATGGTTCGCCATGGCAGCAGATACCGGATCTGTGAGCGGGCAAAATCCAAATTCGGAGGTTTTCAAAATTCTTAAGCACGTCGAATCAATAAAAATAATAAATAATAAAATAAAAAAAACCAACTAAACGGCTGATCCGTCCTCGGACTGGCGAATTGAATCAAGATCACTGTGCCCAGAATAGGGTTTGGAAAACAAATAAGATATGGTTTTAACCCGATCAACAGGTTAATTTCACGAACAAACCGTACAGAATCAAAGAATGGGGCTGAGGGAAACAATGAGAAATAGAAATAGGAATGAAAAAGAATAATAACGATTAAAATGGACAGCGAAAGGGAAAAGAAAAAGAAGGAAGGGGGAAAAAAAAAAGGAGGAAGCCAAAAGGTGCACACTCAATATGCACTCAGAGGAACAACCAGAGTTGAAAGGAATAAATAAAAGATGAACGCAAACACATCCAGGATTCAGCAGCGGCATTGAAATGGTATTAGTACTCGGTGATTGTTACTCAGGGCCACAGGCTGCGGTCACAATAAGCACCCACGGTCTTCAGGATGAGGGTTGCGAAGGGCCATGATTGGACATGGCAGCATTGACAGCATTGACAGCATTGACAGCATTGGCAGCATTGGCTGCAGAAACAACTCCAAGGGGCCTTGCATGGAACAAGCCTGAAGAGTATTTGGCTGTTGCTGCCAATCAAGTTGATCATAAACCCTCTTCTGCAACCTCACCTCCCTGAGCCCTGAGTCTCTGGGCGGGCGACACGCTGATCGAAGTGACGTGACGGATTTGGGGAGGTTTGGGGGACGAGAGGAGAGGAGTAACTTAACTTTTATTAGTTAACAATTAACTTAGTTAACTTAGTTAACTATTGGTTGGTGTGTTCTAAGCGCCCAGCGTCCAGCAAACCTGGTCCGGCCAGACCCCCAAGCCATCGGCCCATCGTGCTGCCCAATAATAACATGCCAGTGCTGGCCATCGCATCGCCAATTCAGGATTCAGTCAGCCCTTTCATTATTGAAGATGGATTGAAGATGGATGCCAAAAGTAGGCGCGGTTGCAGGGCTGCAGCGAGAGGCCTTGTAGTGCCACTAATAACTTAGTCACCCCGCCGCCAAATAGTTATGGTTATAATTATTATTATTATTATTATTTCGCACTCCAACTCCTCTTCACCCCCAAGCTTTGATTTGAGCAAGATTTATTATATAGTTAGTTACGCGTAGTTATACCTAGCTAACTGTATGTGGAGATATGACCATAAACTAACTAGTTACGGAGGAGAGGAGAGGGGATTCCGAGGTCCACTCATGTGTCAAACTGAGGGATATACATTTTGTACAGGACATACAGTACGTAGTAGCGTAGGCTACCCAACTACGGAATATTTGAATGAACATATCCTATAACTAACTAGTTAATAACTAACTGGACTGATGGTTAACTTAGTTTAAATTGTGTAAGATTTGCCTTTCCCAATCAGGGATAGCCTCGGCATTCCGAGTTTCCTTGTTATTCCTTCGGAAATGGCGGGGCAGAAATTGCAGAAATTGCAGAAATTGCAGCAATTGAGCATTGTTATTATTGTAGATAGCATTTAATTGCGTCTTGGTGACAACTCTCTTCTTCTTCTTCTTCTTCTTCTTCTTCTTCTTCTTCTTCTTCTTAGTTAGTTATTAATTAACTATTAACTACCTAGGTTGTCTCTTCTATTGCCCGCGAGAGCTTTACCCCTCCCCGAGGTCAGCTTAACTTGTTCTTGCTACTCGCATCATCTCACCTCTCTATTTCTCTGCCTAGGATTCCTTGATCAGTTTATTTATTTATTTATTTATTTTTCTTCCTCGCGTCCATATTCGTTCTATAGGAGTCCATCTGTCCTCTCTTCCAGCCCACTCATTCGCCATCTGTCCGCCCTCCTCCCCTCCTCCTCCTCCTCCTCCTCTTCCAACCATGACGCCGCCAGCTATCATTGCTCCGTCCATTCTATCGGCAGATTTTGCCGCCCTTGGGTCAGCATGTTCAGATGTGATGGACTGGGGAGGTGATTGGATTCATGTGGATATCATGGATGGCCATTTCGTCCCCAATATCACTTTTGGCCCGCCCGTTGTAACCAAAATCCGGAAACATGTAGCCGAGCCTAATAAACACTGTGAGAAAGGTACCTTTGATTGCCATATGATGATTGCAGAGGTGAGTTTTGGTTTGCTATAATCCCCCTCAGCCGTGGAGTAATCTGTTTCTCTCGATGACCACAGAGTTGTGTTTTTTATCGGATTATCATTTTTCTTTTTCCTATTCTTTGAATTGGCTTTTATTAATTATTCATTTATTTGTTCATTTTTAACATATATCGACTCAATATTGGACGGTATCCAATGAGCGCGGGCGTAATATTTGACTTTGGAGGCGCTTCCCCAACCTCCCATTGTATTTGCCAGTTGCTAGGTCCAGGGCTGTTTGAATAGTTTCAATTCCGCTTTGTTGTTAATTCACGATACCATGAAAACAGGCAGCCTGCAATCCAATTTTATTGGAAAAGAATAATTTGCTAACTCATCTGCTGCGAGAGAGGAGGGGTTGCTGCGCCCCACAACCCCCCACCCAGCCACCCAACAAACGGCGGCCGGGGGAGGGTTGTGTGTCCAGCGCCAAAACAGCATTGAAATCCCCCTCCTGTTACTGCGCATGATGTCACCCACATAGCCACAGAAATGGGTGAAAGAGTTCAAGAAAGCAGGTTGCAACTTATACTGTTTCCATTATGAAGCAGCCGTCGCGTCAACCGCCGCGAAAGACCCAATGGATAACTCCACAACGCGCCGCACCAGTCCCACCGAGCTTATTCGGTATATCCATGATTGCGGTATGCGAGCTGGTATAGCTATCAAGCCAGAGACGGACGTTGATGTGTTGTGGGATATACTTGATCAGAAAGATGAATTGGACACACCTGATGTGAGTCTACCATAACCACTCGCTACCGCCATAACAAATATAATAAATAACCTCTTTGTACGATATCCAAAATTGCCCGTTTCCGATTGGACTCTGGCATTTCGATCTAATACTAACCAATAATCCTCCACAGATGGTTCTCATCATGACCGTGAGACCCGGATTTGGCGGACAAAAGTTCATGGAGTCTCAATTGGAGAAGGTCAGGGCGCTACGAGCACGGTATCCCAAGATTAACATTCAAGTCGACGGGGGTCTGGGAGAGGACACCGTGAAACTAGCGGCGGACGCTGGGGCCAACGTGATTGTTGCTGGGTCGGCTGTATTTCATGCACAGAATCCTGGGCATGTAATTAAATTACTAAGGAATGCGGTTGAGGATCAGAGGAAAAAGTCCACTTGAGGAGGCCAATGCGAAGTCCATGAAGGTTAGATAGAATTGATGCTTTGCAGGGAATAAGCAGAAACAGCCGATGTAGAAGACGTAAATACTCTCAATACCGTACTGTACATACAAAAATGTTGCTGGGGCGGTTGCGCCTAAGAGACCCGCAAAGGGAAAAGGAATTCGGGAATGGCCCTTTAAATGTCTTTGTGGCGTTTGTATCAAGGATCAAAGGTGCAATACACCCAGATGTGATATAAAGATAGGGATCACCGCACAAGCAGAGCAGCAGCTAGTGAATTATCCTGATTAAAGGGGTTATTTTCTATCATTTTAGCTAAGCGTATAAATCCTGGATTAGCTCTCGTAGCCTCCTCATAACCCACTTCAGACTCAGTCTTCCGAGGTTTCTGCGGTGGTCTCTCCTTCGCCCACTTTCTTCTCCGTGCTACCTTCATCCTTGCTTTGTAGTGGGTAAATCTGCTCCCTCTCCCGCATCATTCTCCTTCCCTTCGACGTGTTCGGTTGCAGGAACGGCATCTGGCTTCTCAGCTTTTCCTTCATCCTCAAGTATGGCCCCTTCCTGCAATGTACTAAGCTCTTCGACAAGCTGGTCTTGGTCGCTGGGCGACGTGGCAGAGACCACAGACCCACGATGATGCACCGGCATGGACACTCCTTCGGGGCTGTTTACCTTCAAGTCAGCAGTGGATTCGGCAGCTACCCCAGAGAGTGACGGTCTGTCAGCCGAGATGCTTTGACGAATTTCTTTTATATGCTCTGGTGCACTTTTCGGTGCCTCCAGGGATTCCGGGCTCCGCTTCGCTTCAGGTTCGGGAGTTTTAGGACTCTCCTGCTCTAATGCAGCCGAGGGCCCTTGGGCAGTCGTAGCCTCAGACTGTTGTGATTCCGGCTGTTTTGATTCAGGCTGTGTTGAGATCGATTTGGCGGCTAGGTTTGTTCTTGTGTTGTCCTTAGCTTTTGAAGCTGCCTCTTCCCCGGCTTGTCGTAAAGCGAGCGTGATGCGATCTTCCGTATGTGATTCCCTTGACGGGGGGGGCTCTTGTATTTGGATTCGTGAGGGAGTGGATTCTCTGGGAACTGAAGTTGCAGCGGCTGTGACTGAGGGGGCAGTAATATCCGGTTTTGACGAAGCAGTAGTCGTGGCCGACGGTATGGGGCTACTTTTAGACTGCGAAATCTGCAGTTGCTCTTTGAGTTCCCCATATTCATTCCATTCCTCAATCTCTTTTAAATCCTAAGCATGGTTCTGTCAGCCACGACATATGCACCCGTGTATAAATATACACCCAATATATGTAATATACAAGTAAAAATGCCACTAACCGCAACGACCATCTCGTCCCTCACCAGCACGGGCAGGCTTTTCCCCTTTGACCGCCTACGCCACATTGTGCGGGCTTCCTCATCTGTGGCAACATCAACAGCCCGAAACTGAATTTTGTTGGCTTTTAGGATTGTTTCCACTCGCGAGGTGGCTGTGATTATGTGGGATGAGCCTGCAGTCAGGGAGGTAAAGAGATAGAGCGTGTCGGTGTCAGAGAAGTAGGATTTGGGGAGAGAGTTAGCCATGATAGGAGACCCGACGAGTGTTGGTTGCTAGGGATTAGATAAATCTGTAATTTGCCTGTACAGAAATGCAGAAATATTAGAGTGAAGGAGCTCTTGAATAATGAATTAGAAACAGCAGATAGAACAAAGCGTGTTGATAACCACAAACAAAATCCATGGCTGAAGGAACAAACAACCGATGATGTCAAGAAGCCGGTGGATTGGGGGATTGTCACGTGTGCAAAATGTCTTGCTGTCTATTCTGTAGTTAACTAATGGAGGAAGCAACAGGGATAGCACTCTCTCTCTCTGTACTCTGGTCAAGAACTTCTTTATTTTCATTTCATATTAGATAGAGCCAACTCTTCTCACCCTTTGACCCTGCTCATGTCACTGCGATTTTCAAGTTACTTGCTTTCTGTTGAGTGTCTTTTCCCTTTATCAAAAATTATCCTCATCTGTTGTGAATAATTAGAACAACCTTCACACATGAACTATAATATATTCTATGACTCTACGGATTTAATCTGTTCTTACCCAGGCATATGGAGCCTTATGAAAGTCATGAAGAGAATAGTCATATACAGGCTTCTTTGATTTCTTCTCTCTTTTCATCCTAGCAAGGAGAATTTAAAAATCTGAATACACTGAGAAGTTAGTATGCTCTGTATATGTTCTTCATTGAAAAGAATATGAACAAGAGTGATCATTCAACTGATTTATGTTACATACTGTTGACAGATAACAGGTCTGAAAATAGAGAAGTGATTGTACCTCCTGCACAACATTCACCTGCCTTAAGGAAAGTAAACCGCATCTGGCTGTCCTTGTTTAGAATTGCGACCAGAATCCTCCCTCTAAGAGTGCTATGCCCTGCAGTGTCATCAATTGTCTATCCATTCAGTCCTCACACCTCAGCTTATAGAAACTAAAATGTCTTTCTCTCTAATGTTCAAGCAGATTGAGCTTTGCGGCTCCTAGCTAGTAGCCATGGTACAGAAGGATACATGGAGACTCTCTGTGGATTGAGCCAGCCACACTACCTGTATGTTGAAGTCAGAGCTTTTGCCGATAAATTTACTGAACCCTCAAATTTTTCACTGTATAAATCTTAATCACTATAGTGTGTACAAGTTTCCATTCGGCACTCTGATGTTTCTTTTGGAGAAAGGTTGCTCCACTGTCATGTCACTGAAGCCAGTCTCATGGAAATCCAGGGACTGTGCAATAAAGGCCAATCTTTGAAGTTCAGAATGAGGTCTCTTCTCTCATGAAATTGAAACTCTGCTGTTTGAATTTGTCCATTGTGTTATTTCAGTGAATTCTGTGTTCTAGTCTTCTTTGAATGCATCCACCAGTGCTTCCACCATGCTGGTAAGAATAGCTTAATAGGCGGGATCTTTGGCCTGAGAGTCTGAAATGCAAGCCAATGACTAGTGAGGCTTGCAATGGAAAAAAAGTATTCACACTCATAGCCCATCATAATGAACTCTGAGGCACAGAGATCCTCAACAAGCTGATATAGTGAGCAGAGAGAGTGGTGTATCACAGATGTGGTAGATTGGGATGTTGTGGATTTTTGATTCCAGATTGATGCTCATTGTGAAAATTAGAGTGGTTTTCAATATCTTCCACTGATAGAAGTGGATATGGCAAAGGAATATCACCATGGAAAGGGCCAAACAAGAAAGAAGAGGGTTGACCATGGATGGGGAGAGGCATGTATTCGCTGTAATGTCGGTCGAATCTCCAATGGAGAATGGCCATGAATTATGGCTCCAAGCGGATTGCACATTTTGTTGTCTGGCGGTGATAACCAGCGTTCGATCTATCTTTGTTTGTCTCGTTGCCCAGGTGTTTAACGGCACAAGCTATTTTTTGAGAAGTCTGCTGCAGTTGATTCACCCTATGCTCAACTTAAAACATTGATTAGCGGGATGATTTGAAGGAGTATCGACTGAGCCAGACTCACCAGAAGAAAGGATATCCCTGATCGGCTTCTCAACCTCCACGTTCCCTGGACGGAGGCGGTAGAGAAGATCTCTAGCATATGCAGCTGCCACCATCGCTGCATATCGTTGCCATTCCTCATTCTTGTGAGACTCTGAATAGTCGCATATTCCGCGAATTACCAGACAGGGAAAGTGGTTCATCAGTCCGGCTGCCTCCATTTCAAAACACAGAACATCTTTCTCCGCTGCTAGTCTATCTCGAATCATAGCATCCTTCATCAACTGATTTCCTGAAGCAATTAAACCATAGTGGATTGCTGGATAATCACCATCTTCAGTCCGTTGGGCACGAACTGTCAACTTTGATGGATGATCACCACAGACTACCGCACAGCTTGGTTTAATGTTTAGGGGATGAATGAATCCAGGTTTATATAGCCTGTCACTACTTGGTTCTGGTCGCTTATACTTCTTTTGTAACCTCGGCTTCTTCTCAAGAACACTGTTGACAACCTTCATGAGCTCAAGACCTTCATTTTCAAAATGTGCCTTGAGTCTATTCACAGCCTGTAGGACTGTTGGCGGCTGGTTCAAAACCCCTGTCTGTATGAAATTATCCTCATGAATCGTTTTGCCGAAGTCATACTGGAACCCACCACCCACCCATCCCATCCCGCGGACTAATCACCACAATGTCACCCAGGCGGATATCATGCTGACTTGGGACGCCGCCGCCAATGCCGACATCAGGCCGTTCTAATGTTGGGAAAACAAAACACCATTGCCACTGTTGCTGCAGAGGAAGTGCCATACTCTCCATCAGGCAAGACAGCTATGGCAACATTGTGGTTCCCCACTCTTCCCAGGGTGTAATCATTGTTCTCATTAGGCTTCCGTTTGCCTAGTGGTTGGGTGTTTTTCATCAAGAAAAGCTTGTGCCGCGACACACTCGAGAACGATGGCACAGATTCAGCCGATCGTGTAGTCCTGAGGGTTTGCTATGCTAGCTGCCAGAGTTTCGCAGCGTCAAAGTGTCTAAGGCAACTCAGAGTCGGAGACTTGACATTCTATCGCTTGTCGGATTGGGTGGAATTACTTTGGATATAGGTATTGTAAATGCCTGAGTGTTATCCCTTTTTTTTTTGGCTTCGCAAGAGAGGTTTAGTTAGCAGAACAGCTGACGCCATGAATTGAGGCAATGAATGACTTTAAGAAGAGCGCTGTTGCTTTCAGCCTAGAGGATGGCTCTAGGCAAGCTGCAACCATCAACCATTAATTAAGCGCTTGGGCTTGACATGGCCCCTTCTTTTACCAAGAGCTGGGAATTACTGCTACTAGTAGACACTCATCACCCTTCAATCTTGCTATCTGGATGGTCTAAGCACACGCAAAGAGGGCCCCAAACCTCAAGGGTCATGGGCGATTACCCAGTAGTATCTCACCAAGCCTCGCCTCCCTCAGGTGCAGCATGGTCAGTAAAGCGGCGTGCCACCGGCACTCCTCGAGGAGGATGATATTGTTGGACGGATTGCAAGCTTGTCGAGCAAGTGTCAAAGATAAGTTGATTGAGGGGAGCATGGGGGCATGTGACTCCGGTTCCCGGAAGTTCCAAGGTTGTCCTGCTGTCGCAATAGCAAGCACGACTGTCCCTGATTTGCGAGGGTCATCGCATAGATCCACATCATTTTAAACGAGGTGTTCCGTTCAATCTGGTCAGAGCACGGCGTCACTGAATTGTAGTGGCCGCTTGGTCATGACTGGTTTGCAGATGTCTCCCCGGCGGCTTGGCGTGCAACTTCGACGCTTGACGCTGCATACATCGGCGGCTACGTGGCAGGCTCACATCCAGTAAGCCCTGGTACATGGGGTCGTTGGCCCCCATCAGCACCCCAAACAGCTCACGAGGTTAGCTCTAATGCATGGACTTCAATGGGCATTTTCATCTCTGGACAAAAACATTAGACGACACGGGATAATTGACAACGCAACTAATCCCTCAGGGAAAGGGCATCATTGTGTGTTATGCGCCAGTCACGCACTGTATTTGGGCGTTTCACTTCAACCGTTTCAAGGGACGAATCGATGCATGCTGGAAGAAAGAATGGACATTTTGCCAAACACTGCAGCGGATTCTTGTCCTGGCGTCGACAATAGTAGTAACCTAGGGATATAATGAATTGGGCTATCCGCTGTTCCGCAGTTCCGCAGTTCTCCTCGTCGTCTCAGATGATGTAGGAACTCTCTGGAGGCCTATCACTTGAGTATACTCCGTACGGTGTATAGAGTAAATGATCCTGAGAGAATCCCGGGACGAATGTGAAGGCGGCAGGGGAAGGTCTAAAGCTTTCTCAGCCAGGACTGTTGTGATGGTGAGAGAGAGAAAAGAGAGAACGGTTTGGTGGGGCACCATCTTGTTGATAATAGGAACAAGAAAAACCCATCATGACCCACGGGCGAGAATTGGATCAATTATTATTGGAGCCCATGTTCATTCGACAACTGGCCGGCAACTCCCTAAGCAGCCGGGCCAAAAGCCAGGCCCATTCACAATCCAACCGTCGCCCGATTTTGCGGCAGGACGACGTTCCTTTGGTCGCCTCACTTTGAAGCTGCGGGTCCATTGGAGTCCTGGTTGGCAGTAGCTAGCAGTAACTAGTTAGCTGGAAGTGTATTGGTTGGACAAAGGGACGAAGGTTCTGTCAGAATACGCTCCCGTAACTATTTCCAACTGGAACTGCCAGCCAGAGAGTCGAACCCGGGTTTGTTTTGTGTCTTTGTGCCGGATCCCAATAATAATAATTATTATTGATGTCGCGATACGAGGATCCTGCACCGGGTCAAACCAGTCCCAATTCTCATCATTCCTTCATCCTTAGTGGCCCTGCGGGTTCACTCTCCAATCACTGCCTTAATAACTTCATGGTTATTCAACTTCGACATGCTCGTATTGGCTGCGGCTTCATGCACGGCTGCATCCCCCAATCCAGCTAGAAGGAATTTCTGCTCCGTTTTATAGTCCTGCTTGTCCTCTCTTCGCCCTCCGCCGATTGCTCTTCTCTCGGCCTTCCCTTTCACTCCCTCCCGAAATACATACAGACATTTTGTCAGGACAGTCCTGCAAAGGCTTCGCTATCAGATCAGAAGATCAGGAAGTCTTCTCTCTGACTATCTATCCCTCTTGTATGTCAATTCAATAATACTGATCCTCGCTTTTGGGGAAAAACTGAATATTAATTAATACAACCCAGATTACCTGCCTTCTCCCCAAAATCCCTCTCTCTCGTAACTCCTTCAAGGAGCCAGGACCAGGACCGGAACCACATCCACCACAACCACAACCACAACCACAACCACAACCACGACTCCAACTACAACACTTGGATAACACGATTTGAGGCACATCTAAACATAGCCATGGCCCCTACTTTCGACGATAGCCTCTTCACATCGGCTCTCACCTCCTCCCGGAACGTCTTTTTGGCCAACAATGCACATCTCCCCGAGTTGGAACGTGAACAACTTTGGAGCCAACTCCTCATCTCATTCATGCCTCATCAAAATGTACTCGCCGGAAACACGTTGAAAAACGGCGATGCGAGTGGAACCCCGGACCCTGCTGCCAAACGATCCTGGGAAGATGTGCCGCGCACGATAGCTTCAGCATCACCTCCAGCCAAACGGCGAGCCACCGTAGGTCACCACTTCTTTGGTTTTCATGTCCCTTCTTCTTGTCTCCTCTTCACTGGTTTAACATCGGCTGCATGTAGACTCCGGAATCTCAAACCGCGGTTGATCCAAGTCGCCCAGTTCCCCAACGTGCATCTCCTGCCACTGTCCGTGTGAACCGTCGCCTCTCGACCAGGTCGCGGAACGGGGGTTCACCACTCCAGAAAGCCGGAAAGCTCCCCAATGTGTCATCTCCACACTCACTAGGCGTCCCGGTTTCGGCCACTACCCCCCCGACACCTTTGGCTCCTAAGCAACAGTATTCCCTCCAAGCCCAACAGCTAAACATCAGCAATATTCACGAATACTCCCCTTCGGAGTACGCCCAGCAGCAGTCTTTGGATGGTCTTCCTGACTCACCATTCATGTTTGAGCCCGGCCCCGAGTCCTCCCCGTTGAGCAACGAGAAGTGGCAGTATACCACCCCCTTCTCTGACGGTTTGGTTCCCCCACCATCTCGAAATTATTCGAGAAGTAACTCGACCGCAGCTGTTGAGATGAGTCGAACTGCAACAACAGATTCTCTCTGCGGAGGAATGGGTATGATCCGGTTCGATTCGACCGGATCAGTGCCTAACAATCTGGCAACGCTAGATGATCATTCTTCTTCCTCTCATCTCTCTCATCAGTCATTAAACATAAACAATGACGCTAATTATTGCATTTCCCCATCTCCTATTTCGAATTTTCGTTCGAGTAGTAACATGAATAATGTTCGCTTTTTTTCTCAATCGTTGCCTGAATCCAGGCCTGCTTTCCCTAACATTTCTCCTTCTACTTCCCTTGCTTGTTCCCCGTCGTCCTCATCCCCCCTTTCTTTAACTCCTTCATCTTCTGAGATGAAGCATTCTCTGTCTAGCGCGAGCGATAGCTCGTCGCTGTCAAATCAGTCTAGGGCTGTGCGGAGGACTCAGGAGCAAATTGTGCAAGGCACACGGCGTATCGCCCCAAAACAAGAAAAGAAAACTGCTTCACACTCAAAAGTTGCAGAGCACACAATGCTTAGGATTTCGTCGGAAGATGGCACGTCACGAGAAGTAGCCGCAATTCCAAAAGCCTCTGTTCACCGTCCCGCCAGAACGAAGACTTACTGTGGTAACTGCAAGGAACACCCAGATGGCTTTCACGGCGAACACGAGTTGAGGAGGCACGTTGAGCGTGTCCACTCAATGGTCCGCAAAGTCTGGGTGTGTGTTGACATCTCGCCTGACAAGCAGTTCCTCGCAAACTGCAAGGCTTGCCGTAACGGAAAACGGTACGGCGCCAACTACAATGCCGCCGCTCACCTTCGACGCACCCACTTCAACCCATGTCAGCGTGGGCGCGGAGGCCGCGGAAAAGACAGCGAAAAACGCGGTGGTAAAGGTGGCGGCGTTCTTCCTCCCATGGATGTGCTAAAGCATTGGATGGAACAACGAGAAGAATATGTCATCGACAACGTCATCGACAGTGACAACGTGGCTGAGGAAAATATCGCTGCCAGTCCCTCCGAACCCAACGACAGCAAGGGCTACACAAATGACTCCCAAGACCAGAACGACAGCCGAAACCCAAGTCAATCGGACGAGGTCTCTATCACACCAGAAACAACCACAGATCTTTACTCAACGATGACTATCGACCTTGACGACCTCAACGCGACGACTTCGAACTCAGATCTCTATGGTCAGGGGTTCCCTAGTGGGTATGATGGTGTTGAACAAATGTCGATGAATGTTCTTGATTCATCATCCTTCTTCGATCCGTCTCTGTTCGATGCTCATCAGTTGGGTGGGCTCGACCCCTTTATTCCCGTTATGTTGTAGAACACCGTTGGTCTACGAGCCCAAAATTTCTTCTTCTATTTCAATCTCCTCTACTTCTATTTCAGCTTTCTCTTCTTTTCGACTTGTCTAATTCGTTTCTTTTCTTTTTCTTTTTCTTTTTTCTTTTTTCTCATTCTACTTTTTCGTGTACTTTTTTCTCTTTTTCTCTGTTCCTCTTTCACTTTGTCTGATCTTAATTTTCTCATTTTCCAAGCTGGAGCATTTATTGCCTCCACACTTCTTTCCTTCGGATTCTTATCATCCGTCCAACATCTCACCATGTTAGCGGACTACGAATCTACTTTTTAACGTACTTTGAATGATGACTGTAACGAGTATGATGGTTTACCTATCTACTATTTCTATTTTCTACTTTTCTTTTCTTTTCTTTTATTCCCTAAATATATATCTTGCCCTGGTCTATTCAATAATCGCCTGAAAATCTCCCGCGATTCAGTAGTTTTATGTATAACCTACGTTTTTCCTCTTCGATTTTCCTTATTTTTGAATCTCTCCCCCCCTTCTGATTTCTATGTGCTCGCTGAAACATAGTAGCTAGCGCGGTTCCCCTCTGCGGCACTTTTTAAAATAATGCTAATAGTACCTATTGTAATGTTTTTTTTTTTTTCGAAAAAAAAAACCAACTCCTTCCTACTTACCTTACCGTAAGTTGTTCTACTAAAGACATTGATCCGTCCCCCCGGGTTTTTTAAAGTTCCAGATACTGAAAAATCTAAAACATGTTTCTCCCTCCCTCTTTCCGCCTCTTTCGAGTGGCTTTATCCCAACGCTGTACATGTGTAATCTACACGCTGCACTAGCAAGATAATTAACAAACGTGCATGAATAATAATAATAATAATAATAATAATAATACGCACAAGGAATGCCCGAATCGCTGTTGCTGCGGGAGTGCGGAGTCTGGTGATCATGATATTCAATTCTGTGTCCAGCTGACCATTTTAATGGATCTGCCTCGGGATTGATTGGCTAGCTCAGGGCGCTTCCTTCCGCCTTTGGATGAACTGTTGATCCTCGTCAAGCCTCACCAGAGCGGGGCTCAGGGTCTAGGGCTGAACGCGGGCCATCGATTCCTACTGGTTGCTGCTGTGGGGATGCCACCATCGGGTGCCGGTGAAGCCATTTATCCGACGGCTGAGCGGGAGAGCTTATTGTGTGATTGGCTGGCTGACAGGGCCCAGGCACAAGCGGGATGACTAAGTATGTGGCTCGACGTGGCTGGACTGTGGCTAGGCGCTAAATTGGCGCTAATATGGCGCTAATAGGGTTATCACGGCGCGATGGTTGTTCTACGCCGCGTAGATCATTATTATCCACCCCGGAATCGATTCATCATCTATAAGACTTATAAGGTTACGACCAAAATTCCCTCGGTGGCGAGGTTGTTGTTATTCTTCGAATAATAATCACCTAGATACTACTGTGTCTAGACGTCTATACGATCCAACACAACTATCGAGTCTGCTGACCCCAAGCGAGCAAAACTATACCACCATTATTCTCTCCAGTTCTAAATTATAATCTAGAGACTACTCTTTTCTCCTTGCGTTAAACCCCAACAACTTTACCCCTATCTCGCTCTCTCCTCTATCTAGAGACATCATCATGGCTTCTCAGGGTAATTACCCGCAACAGCCTCCACCTCCCCAGCAAGCGTAAGTTCTTCCCTCGATCCCCTTCACCCGCTCGCTCGCCCTTCTACACTCACAACAACCACCTAACACACTAGTTTTTTGTCCCCGCTTTAGCTACGGTGGCTACCCGCAGGGCTATCCGCAACAGGGATATCCCCCTCCGGGCCCTCCTCCGGTACGTTTTCCATTCTCTATCCTATCCCTCCCTCCCGTTCCTTGCTGCCGGAGCGCCCAAGCTCATAAATAACGGCTGACACAAACCACCGCATAGATGCAGATGCAATACCAACAGGCTCCTCCGCCAGAATCCCCCAGGGATAAAGAACGTGGATGCTTAATGGCCTGGTACGTCTATTATCATACACAAAAACACACACACATATATATATATATATATTATATACCCACCTCTCCCTTTCAAAAATTTACAGTATCACTAATATCTCTTTTCCTATGATATCAGTCTGGCAACGCTCTGTTGTTGCTTCCTTTGCGAGGAGGCATGTGAATGCTGCATCGATTGTATTTCATTCTGCTGCTAGTTTTGCTAGTCTTCGTCTGTTCGTACTCCGTTGTTGAGCTATGCTTCATGCTTATTCGTCGAATGCAACATACCTACATACATACATATACGTATAATATACGTATAATATATACGACAACACCCTGCATTCTGTGCAGTGCATAGCGGGTCTCTTGCTGCATTGATCTTTTTTTTTCACTTCCTTTTCTCTTGGAGGGGGGGTTATTTGGTTACTGCGGGCTTATATATATGTAGCTCTATTTGATATTCTGTTGATATTCTGTTGATATTAACCTGTAACCCTATTCTGGGGCCATGATATTATTATTATGGTTCGTATAGCCCTAGGTTACAAGGTGGAACGAGGTTACGATCCTGGGGAAGTTAGTGTAGGTTCTCAATCCAACAAAAATGTTTGGAAATTCAAAGTGATACAGCCATAACGGCCTTATTCTTTTTTCATCATGAAACTCTGACAGATTCTCATGTGCATGTACTCGAAGTTTAAGGGGTGGTCTGTTGAAATTGAGTGAACCGCGTAGTAGTAGTGCATGTATCATTAACGGGGTATCAGAACAGTAGAACAGGAGAGAAGTAAAAGCTAACTATTGCGTTCAATATTATATATAAATATCTAACAGCCGTTCAACCAAGTTCACATGAATCATAATCGTATCCAACCGCTATATATATCTGCACTTCCATGTCATTAAAGCACACCGCGCCGTAGGAGAAGCCCAATAGTGGAAACAGAACCAAAAGAAAAAGATTCATCAGTCGATTCAACAAAAGGCATGTAAGATCATATAAGCCCCTAGAACGCGACATTGCTCACTTACGCCATTGCATTTTGGAAGTCCTCGGTGCGACGCTCCGCCGCCTCCTTGGGAGAAGCAAGCACCCATTTATCCTTAGCAACCGGCTTCAGAACCCCTTCTTGGACCGCCCACTCTCTCAACGCAACATCTTCGCAGGTTTCCACGTCGCGCTTCCCGTAATGTTTCCCAACATGCTCCATACGGTCATCCCAGCAGTAGGTGCCAGAAAACTCCCGGCCGCAGAAGGTACATATACTCCGCCGCGGCGCTTTCCGCCGCTCAATCCAGCATCTCTTACGCACTTTCTCTAGGCTCTTGTCAAAGGCATCTTGCTCCTGCTTGCTTGGGGAGACTCTGTTAGATGACGCCCACGGAGAATGCATACGTCGTTGATGCTGCGTGAAAAGGTCCTTGCGGTTGAAGTCATTGGGTGAGCGCAGGTTTTGTGAAGATGAGGTCGGAATGCAGGATGATGACGCCTCTGGGGTGGAAACATTACAGCTTCCCACGTCGCAGCGGTAAAATCCAAGCTGGAGATGTTGAGAAGAAACGTGGCGCTTCCATTCGTTTTTGGCAGAGAAGGTACTGTGGCAGCCATATGGGGCAAATACGCAGATAAACTGACGATCGTTGGGCTTCTGTTGGGACCAAGAGGAGTAAGGGCCTCGAATAGACCGCCCTGATTTTAGCTTGCGTCCCTGTTTTGTGGCCGGCTTGGAGAGGACGTGGTTGCGCGTTGATCTGCGGTTATTGTTTAATTTCCGTGGTGGTGATGGCATGCTTCGTTGAGATTGGATGGAATATGCTGTCCGCTTGCGTGGGAGCGGCCCCGGCTCTGTTCTGGGAACTTGCTCGGATTGAATTTGGGTCATTGGGGAGGCTGTTTGGATATTGATCTCCTTTGGAAGTTCTCCAACTTCTTGTCCGTCTTGGTCTGCAAGAGAGGATTTGATGACTCCAGGAAATGAGCTCCTCTTGGGGAAATTTGCGTGGAAGGTAAATGATCGTCCAGCCCATCCAGAGTCGATTTCAAACCTTTGTTCTGCCTCCGGGTCTGGATCAGGGTAGTGTTGGACTTCGCGAAGGCTGACTGAGTGTTCACTTCCACAATAAGAGCCTTCCACGTTTGTGGAGAGGAAACAGTTCGATGGCCCTCGATGTTGGAAAGTGTCACTTAGAGGCGAGGGAAATGGGCTATGACTGCTGGTGCATTGGGACTCTCGGGATGCATATACATGGCTCCACGACTGTTCACTCAAGTTAGAATCGGCTTCTGTCTCACCGCCACATGATCCGCTTGGGGATTCGTATCTCCAGCTTGAACGAGATAAACCACTGGGTTCGCCATCGCTCTCCTGGGCTGATAATGTGTGCAACTGGTAAAACCTAACGTGTGCAATCTCATCCGTAGCGAGAATTGGCGAGCAGCTATCGGCAGACTTTACCAAGTATGGAAATTGAGTCTCCGTGTATGTTGTTCCGGCCGCTATGGCATCATGTCGGAGCTCGCAGGTATCAGAAACATAGGGGTAGCTAGCTGGGGTTGTTACAAAAGGCAGAGTAGTCGCATTCATGGATAAAGAGTACGGGTCTCTCGATGGCTCATCACCGGAAAAGCGAATATAAGGAACGTCGTTTATCTCTTGGGTGAACCCGATATCTGCCATTTTAACATAAGCAAACTATTATCAACTCAAGTCAGCAACCTCCCCAAGGTCGTGGCATCCGTAGAAGCTTTCGAAGCTTGAGCAAAAAGTGGGTATTATTAGAGACAGAAAGATGAACGTATGATGTCATGTCAGACATACGAGTATAAGTGAGCTCTTCGGAGGTATTCATGTGGAGGGGATCATCACTCAATATAAAGAAACTTCTTACCGGCCCATCCTAACTAGACTTAATGGCCCTGGTAGTTAATCGAGTACGGCGTCAAGTATTAACCAAACGAGCAAGCAACACACGAGGAGATGTCGCAGAGCCGCACAGCCAGTCATAATTTCTACGCTGAGAAAGAAAAAAAAATTGGTTGTCGACTCTGGTCGAATCGAGTGATGCAAAGCTCAACCCTGGTCAGCCCCTGCATGGGCAGGATGCGGGCGTTGGGGGCTGTTTGTCCAAAACTGGTTCGCCAGGTCAATTGATAGCGGCAGTGCCTGGCGAGTTTGCGAACAAGACTCTAACTAGCCCAGTGGCCCAAGAAACATGCAAGGATGTCTGGGGCGCATTAGAATCATAAAGGGGCTACGAAAGCAGCCTACAAGATAGCCCTGCCCTGTGCAGGGAAAGTCAAGGCCGGGGATCGTCATCATTTCTCCTCCTTACGGCATCCAAGATCTGCCGTCACCCAAACTCCGGGGAGTCGGGACCCAAAAGAGACTCGGGTGCATGATCTTCGAGTTGAGTTATTCTTGGAATCGGCATGGTGACACTCGTTATGGTGGATTTTGTGCCGAGGGAGAAATATGTGAAATTTCAACTAGCATCCTGCGGCACAGCTTTCAGCGTTTTAGAGGGGAACGACTGAGCAAAAGCAAACATCCGGACGCTTCAGACTGGCTGAACACGTAAGATGCTGTTATAGCATAGTTATACGCTGTACCCAAAGAAAATTACACGGCTTGCTATGGTCCTTTGGGGTAAGTAGACTAATGTTGAAGCCCCTTGTCTCCAATAAGTTGTAAGGTGCCAGTTGGATCGGAAACAACATCGTTCGCCTGCGCCGACGGCGACTCCTTGGCGAGTCAGCCACATTGGGGGATCTGGGGCATCCTCAATTCCTCATTAATACAGCGTAATAATTGATGCTGGGGAAATCCTCCGTTCAACTGGGATCACCGCGGGGCAGCGAGGTCTGGGGACACTGGCTTGCGCTAATGTCACCAGGCAATCGAAAGTGGCTAATTACTTTTGAAGCTAGAACGCGATGGATTAAAAAACAGGGCAAAAAAGAAAAATGCGTTGCTTCATGGTAAACTCATGTTCACGACGGCTGCTGTTAGTAAATCTCGACACAACCGCTCATGACTTAAGCGGAGTTAACTATCAAAAAAGGCATGTACGGAGTAACTGCCCATCTGATTTTGTTTCGCTTTAGCTCCAGCTGTCACCAAGCTATGCAAGGCAAACCGGTGCCTTTGCGCATGAGGCAAACTCGTTACCATGGAGTTGACCAGGGGTTTGGGGGTTTCGAACCAAAACTCAGATTGCTGGTGAAGAGTGAAGCTGCGTCCGCTCAAGGGAAAAACGGCACCATGTTACACCAGGCGTAACCAGGCGTTGTTCATGGGCTCAACCCCGGCGCCGCCACTATTCCGTACAAGCGCGATCAATTCCTGTTCTGGCATCCGCAGAGAGGAGGGGGAGAGGGGTTAGATTCCGCGATGGACTGTGCCGCTAGCTAATTTTTAGCAATGTTGAAAGTTGTCGGTGGGCAGTCTTGGACGAAGCTCTTCCGCTGTGTAGAGCTGGGCAACTCTCGACCCAAGTATCCCGGCTCGTCGGATGGTTTCATCCATGCCTTCCTATCCTATTGGAACTATCACCACCCCGGAGTAGCTGTGGTGTTGCTCGCTCTCGAGGATATGCAAAAATGTTTTGACAAGATATTCTTTGTAGCCTCTTTTGAAGAACTGATGGTTTCCACCCTAAATCTCAGCGAGCTTCTTTGCTTCGGCGTTGAGAAATTTGTTACATGTGTCCTGTACAATGGATACCCTATTATTGACTTAGCACTGCAAAGATTGCTGCTTAACAGGGTGCAACTATTAATAATTCCAGAGGCGTGGGGTGTCCCCGGCTCCTGATAAGACTCCACTTCCCCGGTTTAGATCTAATTGCTCATCAGTATCTGCTTTTGTACCTGTGACTGTCTGTTTTTTCTTCTTTTTTCTTTTTTTTAGAGAGAGATGGAGGGTCAGCGAAAGATTGTATGTACTACGTTACTAGTTATATTTAGAAACGTTTGCCATAGCACAAAACAACACAGAGCAGGCTCTGCGATTCAACTTTGAAGGAGTATGAAATCTTTAGCCATTCCTTGCTTAGTGTGAAGATATGAAGGACTTAAATTGTTCTACTTCCTAATTAATAGAATGTTGTCTGTCAGTTTTTTGCCTTTTTTCCTCCGCTTTCTTGATGTTCTAATTCGTGGCATAGTGGCTTGGGGGCGGGGGGGGGAGAACTTTCCGGTTTTGAGATCGGTACGCGGTACGTCGACTCAAGCCCTTTTGCTTATGACCTCTTCTGGCTGAGGAAGGGTCCTTTGTCAGGGAGGCGGATCGACTTGCGTGAATATTTGGAACCCGCCTGGCATGGGAGCGAGGCAATTGGGGCCCCTTCAAGGAGCTATTATTGCAAACTTCGATGTTGAAAGCCTGTCTACGCAGTAGTCGAATGTGTCCATCTCGCTTTGCTAGATTTGGAAGCCTAATCGCACTAGCCCCCAAGTCCACGAAAAGTGCGTGGCAGTGTCTTCGAACTGCCGATGCACCTCGCTCCGTGTTGCTATTTATTATTCTTCTTCCATTAGTTATCTTTCCCGCGATGATGTCATTGGAGATCTGCGTTTGACGATACCATACCGTTGATGGATTTCACCGGGAGTTCATGAATCCAGGGCTTGCAAGATTCCCAAAACGCAGTCTCTTCTCCCAAGCAAAGGAAAGGTAGGCTACGCATCGTTCTTTTCTTTTGCTTGTCAAGCAGAAGTAGTTAACTAGTCGCCGCCTCTCATAGGCTGTGAAAGTGAAAATGCGCGCCGAAACAACGCAGCAACACCCCAACCGCCAGCAAGGATCAAGGATGGCGGGCGGTAGAAAAAAAACTAAAGCATCCCCACTAACGATGAAGCTCAAAGCAAGTAGCTGATTCTCATCCAATAATCTCGCCGGGAGGGAGCCCGTAGTTGGGAAGGGATCATTGGGCGAGGGCAGCGTGGGCAGAGAGGAAAGGCGGCGGTTACTGTGCCGGAGTGGAAGCAAGACGTTGCGTGTGAGGCTCAAGCGATGATTAATCCGCCTCTTACCCACAATCCGGCGCCTTTTATCTTTCCAAGTCCAACCTCATGCCAACTTAACCATGAGTACCAGAATAGCTATCCACAAGGGTAAATTTCACTGGGCATGATAGATGCCCGCTTGTTCGGCAGCAAATAATGATCAATACTCCAGACGAACTATCAGCCCTTCCACGCCCAGTTGAAGTCAGCCATGAAGATGAAGAACTTGTTGGCGCAATGCGCGCTTGGGGATTGTAAATAGTTGCATCTCAAGAGAAGTTACAGAGTAGAGGCTCTGTTTTGAACCACTGTTTTTTCCTTCCCTTAAGACTGAATAGCTAACCATGTCGTCGAACCCAGGTCTTGAACCCTTATACAATTTCATGCCCTCCAGAACTTAGGACCGTAGCAGGTCAACAAATGGGGCCTTTGGATGAATGCCCTTCCTCCATCCGAGGATTTTGCATCCAGTAAATTGATTCGTTGTCCTGTCCCCTCAACTTCGCGATTGTTAATCGTTATCAACGTTCTGATGTATGCTCTACACAAGCTTTTTGCCGAGGATTGCCATCTCTGAACTGGTGTAACATCATGATTGTTGCAGAGGTAACAATGAGCATGGTATTAACGAATATCTGAATACATCATTATATTCAGTAGGCGGAGTATATTACTTATCACTCAATATGTAGATCGTATATCGATGCTACACCGGCAAAATGAATATCAGGAGTACGTGCTGCCTAAGTATGTACTGTACAAAACAATGTACACAAGGAAACAGACGGTGTATAAACATACTCTAGATAGCTACCATGTTCTCGTCCCCCCTCATGTCAAGTGATCAAGTCAAATGCATTGGTTTAATTATTGCCTGTCTTTTGGTATGAATAACTGAATTTATTTGTTGTTATATCCTTATAGTTGTAGTTTGTCTGTTGACTAGTTCCATACTGTGAGACAATACAACGGCACAGTTTAAGTCTAAGTGAATAGAAAAACGCTCGTGTACTTTATTTCTATTCTTTCTTCTCCTTCTTTCCCCCCTTCTTTGGTAACTACCCTAACAAGCCAATAGAAAAACACTGCGCCCACAATTTTCGCAGGAATAAAGGCGAACAAAATGCCAATGTTGGACCAGTGATCTGCACAATAGATATTGACATGCTCAAGGTAATCGTCAGTTGTCATAATTGTGCAATACTCACACATGTCAGTTTTGTCTGGAGTGAGGAGACGACCATTAGCGACCCCGTGGAAAGAACAGAGGAAACAAAGTAGATGAATGGGGAGAGGTGATAAAGAAAGATCCACAAACGTGGCATGGCATCCAGCGTGGCAAGGACACTGTGTGATTACAAGATTAGCGAACAACTACCATATGGTTCTAGACAGTACATCTTATTGAATGCCTACCTGCAGAAGATGAGAGTTGACGAGAATAACAACTGGCCGACATTGCCAGCTGTTTCGGCTAGGTCAATCCCTGAAACTGGAAACTACCATAGAACCAAACGTAGAACCATAAAAGTGGAAGATCCTTCCGCTGAAACCCCATCGGATAGTACCAGGCGAAAAAAAGCAGGGACAACCATGAGGTTGTTCTAAGGAAGCTCTACCATGTGTGTGAGCTAAAAGTATGAAAGCTTTCCACGAATAGTTTTTGATGGATGCTTGTGTACCTATGTGTGAGAAGGGTGTTAGCTTCTTCAAATCTATGCAACGGGGTTTCTAACTATACCTCATAAAATGATCTCATTGCGATGTAAGATGGGATACTTTGCTGTGTCAACATAGGAAACATGTTTAGAAACATAAAAATCCTGAACAGTTGGTTTTGTAATACCTGGAGACTTTTCGGGGCGTTGTAGAAGGTGAAACCAATAAATAAGAGGCTATAGAATATTTAGTGATTGTATACCCTATACCCGAAGAAATAGAGAGAGCCGTAAAATCAAGCAGAGAAGTACTCTAGGCATAGCCTCCATCTGTTGAACAACAACTTACCGAGACAATAGCAATAAACGCTTTGGAGTAAATGTATACTGGATTGCGCCAGTACTGTTGAAGCATCCGTTGTTGGCAAATCAGATATTGGTACCATAGCGGCATTGCGGATTCTGGAGATCCTTCTTGAGAGCCCCGGTTCTTCTGCGACTATTCCCTCTTCATAACAGCCAGCGAACGTTGCACTTTAACCTTCTCTGCGCTAGAGTTCTAGATCGCTGGCTAGTCTTTATTGGTATGGGAACTAGGAGCAAGCACCAATAACTAACCTCCAGCATCCACTCGGCAGGGTTGGCGTCAAGGGGACACTTTGAGGCTCCCTTCTTCTCGAAATATTCGACCAGTGTGCTCATGTTCTTCCCAAGGTCTCCAAAATAAACCGCTTTCCCCCCTTCGGTCAAAAAAAAGCAATCGATCATTAAAAAAGATGACGGTTGGTGGATGATGCACAGGATGGCTTTGTCCTTCCGTCAGCAAGCTTTCGCATCAGGTTTGCAGATGGACCAGGCCGTCGGGCTATCAAGGCCAGACTTAGGTTCGTCGAAAAAGAGTAACAGTTCGGGCTTGGCCGCGAGTTCGACTCCGATACTGAAGCCTTTCCGTTCCTCTACGTTCAAGCCCTCTCCAAGGACGCGAACAACCGCATCGGCGTATTACTGCATGCCTAAAATCTTGATGGCTTCTTCGATATAGGCAATTTTTTTTGGCACGTGGAGTGATGGGTGGTTGGCGAAAAAGAGCGCTGAAGACCAAGGATTCACGGACAGTGCTAGTTTCTGTATGTAGGTAATCGTTCTGTTGTATATATATATCCAGTTTTCCGCTGAAAGGACGCATCACAAGACGGCCGTCAACTAACATTTCGCCTGTTACAACACCCATTGTGACACGATTAACTAGACCGATTGATCTGGAACCCCAGACGTCTCATCTAGAAGGGATAAAAAAGCCTTCCATGCCATTCGGTCACTGATTGAGGACGGGCTCACGCGTAAGCAGCTTACCTGACTGGTATGTTTGACCAGATGCACGCAAAATTCAGTTAACCATCTGCTACCCAAGACTCCCAGTTGTGCCTATTTCATACCAGGCAATTACATTCCCTCCCGAGATTCACTCCCTGCAAGACATATGCGCCGCCATGGATTTTTCGCAAATCCGTCTGCTGCTGGGACTATTACAGGAGGCCGGCATTCCTGTCTGCATTATAGGCGAATTCGCTCTGAACTACAATAACGCACCACGCGTCGTTCATGTAGGTCCATTCTCTTCGCATCTGCCTCCCGCCGCAGGTCCATATGCTTACTGTTCCGCGCTTGTAGGACCTTGAGCTTTGCGTGCCTGCGGATGATCTCGGGGCTGCAAAATCTGTATTCGAATCCCAGGAAGGTCTGCTTGAAATAGAGGACAAGACGAAGTATAACCTCTATACTCAATACAAAAAGGGTTTCCCTCGTTTCCGTTCCTACTCCAAGCCTAGGTTCTATGTGGTCATATTTACCGATAAACACTACCACCTAGACCCTCTGCAGAAATGCGTGATATATCAAAAGGAGCATCAGCACACACGGGAATACAGCCGAGAGCTGCTCGATTCGTTTTCGCCAGACGAGATCGCCACTCTTCCGTTTCCGCGCTTTACTCCGCTCTTCAGGGGTTTCTGTCGCTCTTACATCGAGACCCAGGAGGCTACAGCTGCGATGGCTGCCGAGTGCCTTGTGGACGGAATGAACATCAATGAGGAGTGGTGTCATGCACACTTCGACCCTCCTGAAAGTGCCGAGTCGGGTTTTGCCCTGAGACTTGTAAATAGTAGAGGGTCTCGGATTGATGACTTCTCACTGAATCAGGTAACCTGTTTCATCCCCGATCTCCAAGAGGCGCAACGACTACAAAGGATTCCAGGGTTTTATGAGTAGGTGGTTTGAATCGGCTCGGACAAGCTGGCAACTTTGCTATGTCCCTTCTGAGGTAATGTTTCAAGCATGGGTGTGCCCGAATATTAGAGCGGATTTGTTGGATTGCGTGCTTGCTGCAGCCAGCAGCCTTGGCCATCTGGGATGTTGTTAGTGGTTCATCACTAATCTTGGTTATCATGTCATGAATAAGCTCAAGCTTCAAAGATGCTAGATTTGATTCCATCTTGTGCAGCAAGAGAGAGAGATAGAGTGAATGGCTTCTGTCAAGTATCACAGAAGTGAGCATCAAAAATCAAGAGCTCTGACAGTGTCATTTGACTAGTTTGCATAAAATATTCTATTGATACTGTACATGTATAGTACACTCATTGATGAACATATATCAAACATTCTTAGATGATCAAATACATGATGAACAGAGGAAAACTCAACTTGACAAGAAGGCAACACTGCTCAATTCTTGGGCTGTACTATGAGATCAATTTCAGAACATCCTACCAGGTTAAAGATGTTCATTTTGGCTGCCATTTCATGGATGTGAGGCTATGCTATTAAAGAATCAGCAAGTCTGTGTTTCATACATCATTTTCATATCTGAAGTCAACATAGTCTGGAATTAGTCTCCCTGCATTTGACTGAGCTCTCTTGAGATCAAGCTTAATCTCACAATTTGTTGTTGACATTTGCCTTTGAGAACTTTGTGAGATATCTTTACACACAAAGATCAGATGAGAGAACTGTATCTCATTCACTTCTTATGAGAATTGTTGACAAGAAGTTATATTTGATAATGATTATTGTGTTGCATCAAACAATACATTACAATACAATTATGAATAATAACTACTTGCACCTGATTACTGAATGATGATAGAAAGCAATAGTAGATAAAGAAGATGCTGAAGAACATGAGATAGATTTTTCTAGAGTTCTATAGCTAAAATAAGCATAGTTATTGATTTTATCAGACTTGAGTGTTTTTAACAAGAATCAGATGTTTTTTGATAATGATACAGAGAAGCCCCTCTCATATTCATTAAGTTAAATGAAAGGATTAAGACACACAGAAAATAAATTATTAAATTATGGAGATATCATTAAAAATATTTGATTCTTCGAGTGATTACTTTATGAGTGGTTGAGTAGTTGAGGAGAACTTCAATCAAGCAAGGCAATGTTTCTCGACGGCGCAGAGTAGAGTTATGGAGAAAGTGAGAGGGCCAAACCTTCGTCGTCTTTAGCCCTTAGGTATAAGTTAGCGGAACCAGTGACTACCAAGCAAATATTGGGGACTGTATTTTTATCTCGCTCTGTTGTTGCTTTGTTTTCTTTTTGCTACTATGCCGCGAGATAAAGAGTCTCATTCCCCTTCCCCAGGATGTTCCCCCGTTTCACTTTGTTGCTGGTAATCCAGCCAGAGTTATTCGTCGCATCGAGACGACCATGGACCCTAATAGCAAGTCGGCTAGCTCAGTAACTAAACGAGCGGGAGACAACGACAGTGGAGTTTGAACAATTGTAATATATATTTAAGAAAAGAAAGGCAAAGTTAAGGAAAAGATGCAAGAAATATCGTACTAGCCTTTCTACCAGTCAGACCCAGTTAGATTACCTCAAAACTCAGAGCTTCCGCTCTAAATTTCTTTTGTCAACATATAGCAGAACTACTTCGCTATGAACGCGCCCCCTTGTTCGTAGATCAACCAAGGTAATTCTCAAATATCTATCATTGATGCAGTGAATTGGAACAGGTGACGTATATCTGTGCGGTTAACTTTACTGCATGTGCGAAATATCTAGGTAATATATTTGTATATATCAACACGCCTAGACCAAGACCAAATCAAATATATGATCTTTATAAAGGTCAGATATAAATACATATATCTGGATACGATGACTCAACCAACCGCCAATACAAAGCCACAACACTCCGGTCCCTATCCTACACTTCAGGATATCGGCAAATATCCCGAGCGTCGTCCTTCACGCATTCCCAAATAACCCTCCTCACCTCCATCCCGACCTTCTCAATCGAATCTACCGTCCAGATCACATCCAAATGCTCATATTCCTCAATTACCCTCGAATGCACAACACGAACATAGGGCTCACTCCTGCCTTTTAGCCGCCTTTTAGCCGACTGCCATCAGTAAGCTGATCCGAACCCGCAACCCAGAGCGCCATGGGCGGGAGCATTAGAACAGGGTATTTCCTACCCCCGTTTGCAGGGTGGCTTTGCCCATCTGCTTTGGGTGTCTATAAGGCACTTGGAGGGGCGATACAGTCCCTATCGCCGGAGGGTAATGGTTTGTATTCCTTCGGATTGTACAAATGCCAAAGTATAATTAACGCACCATCTTCTGTCTGAACTCTATAGGACTCCGCATCCAGCCCAACCCGTCTGGCATAGTAAGAAATCACAAACAAGGGGGTCTTGACCGCCTTCCAGTGGTTCATAGGGCGCTTTGCCAATGCCCACACTTCGTTCCTCAGCGTCTACTTCAGAGCGTGGAACTGAGGGTTTGGCTGCTAGCTTTCGTTTCTCATCGTCCCACACCCACGCCGCACTCTCCCTTGCATCCCGCCGCTGGCATTCCTCCTGCCAGAACGGCCTATCCTTTTCTGGGTCCCCACCGCGAAGACGGATGGATAGGTCTTTGGCAGCGATTAAGCTACTGCTGACAGATGCTGCAAGCACGATGCCAATGAGAAAAATCAGGGATAGACAAAAGGAGACAGCTCGTAAAGCGCGCCATTGGACGGCAGTGAAAATGGAGGGTGGTTTGTATTCAGGCAGGGGAGGGAAAAGGGGAATGATGAGGATGTGGATTCTCGTCGATGATTGGTGGAAGAGCGGTGATACTGATACTTTTCTCAGAACCAGGACCACTTGAGCAAGACGATGCAGACGCGCAATGTTTTTCCGCATCTACAGCGGGCGGTGGGGGGTAGCTACTGATGATGAAGCGATGGTAATTGTATACTCAGTGCCCTTAAAGGCGAATGATGTTCCTGGAGTATCATCGGCGTTTGCAGTTTTCATGGCTATTTCTCACCCTCTTCTATCGACTGGAGTAGTTATACGTGTACAGAGGCTAGCACTGCCACCGCACATGGAAAGATTCAATGAACAACTATAAAATGGATGGATAAATGGATGAATGGATAAATGGATAAATGAATACATGAATGAGTTGAAAAGAGTGAAGAGTAACTAATCAATAAGCTGAAATGGAGGTAGACTCTCTGCTTCCTGCTTAACTAAACTATTAGTGAACTTATTAGCAGCTGGAACTGAGGCTGGGCTGGTTAGCTACGAGAACAAACCAGGGAGCTCGGAATTTGTACATACATATTATCCCGCAACTAACTGGGTTCCTACTTGTTGTCATGATGCTTTGGCACCATGTTTTGATGACCTAACAAAAAAAGACTCCCACTGAAAGTTGAAAATCATAAACCAAGATAACCACGCAAAGTATATATACAAGAATACAAATAAAATGCGAGAGCCAGCGATATGCAGGAATCCATGAGATGACGGAACAAGACAATTTTTTATTTGGTATATTACTACTTAAAAAATATTGCCAATATTTTACTTCTCTATTTTTCTGCTTCTCTATTTTTCTACTTCTCTATTTTTCTATACATCTTTTCCTCACAGAGACCCGTTCTCATCTATTCGTGTCATGCACAACCGGCCTTCGCCCTCTATCAGAAGAATCATCGCCCTGTGCCTCTTGTGGTGCAAAACTGCCTGAAGGCAGCTCCGGCGCGTCGTTAGGTCCATTTTCCCGAGTCAGGTTGTAGCGACCTTGTTCCATGAGCTCCGTTTCGGCGACTTCCATATCCTCAGACCGGCTATGCGACCAGCCCCTGCCTTCCCTGGAGCTCACAGAGTGAGACCCCCCCAGGCGAGAGAAGAGGCGGTTGCGCTGGATGGAGGACGAGATACTGCCCCGGGACGGGGATCCGGCGGCGGGGCCGGCAAGACGGGAATGGTGGGAATCTATGGAGGTGCGGGCGGTGGCGTGGGAGCGCGATTGCTCGAGGGAGTCGAGACGGCGTTGGGTCTCTGCCTCTTCCTGTTCGCGCCGGCGGCGCTCTGCCGACTCGCGATTTGCATTGAGGATGACCTCGTTGACGCGGTTTTTACCCTGGCGGTCTGCGTGGACGTCGGATATCGAGTCTGCCGCGCTGAGCTCGCTCATTCCTAGAGAGAAGTCGACGTGCCTGGACACTGACTCGCGGCGGCCGCGGGTGGAGGAGGTCGTCCCGGAGCGGTTTCGGAGGATGGAAGGGTTATGACTGACACCGGTCGAGGGTGCACGGCCCAGATCGCCCAGCGCGTCACGGGATTCCGAGATCAGGTGTGGATCAGTTGGGCCGTCTCCCGGGGGGATAGGGCCGCTCGCGCTGTCGCTATAGGTGGGAGGAGCGCCCTGGTGAGAAACGTGATATGGCATGTCATGCTTCGCACCGATCATGTTCATACGTGGTCCTTCGATACCCACCTCCTGAAGGATGAGCATGAGAGCGCAGATAAACTTGTTGCGTCGCTGTAGACGCAGTAATTCGTTTTGCCAATTTGATTTGTAAAAGAAGACGACATTTAGAGTGACGGAGTAGTTTTCTGTCACCTTTCGTAATTCGGTAAGGATTTTCCCTTGATATTCGCGGTTCTCAGACCGTACAAACTCTGTAAGCCGTAGCCGGAGGGTGTCAATTTGCTGAAGGGTGGTCCCGAATTTGATGATAATTGGAACGGCTTCGGCAAGGGCGCCGCTACGTCGTTGGTTCAGAATGAAAAGCGTATTGAGGTAGCTGTTGGGTGCCTGCACCACATGCCCTTCCATCTTCTTAAATTCTGTATATAGCAACGCAATTTCTTTCACGAAATAGTCATCACCAGTTAGGGTTGCGCCGGTATTTCCGTAAATGGAAACACGATCACCCACGTCAAACGGGTGCTTGATGAAAACGAATACAATAGACTTGCGACCAAACCAAGCTCAGTTAGTATGGCGAAAGAAAGTAGCGGCAAGGATTTGCAAAGAGTAAATAAAACGGTACTTACCTGTAGAAACTCCTGGGCTGTAGCAGAGAATAGCCAGGAGAGCGCCAAGAGCGTGGAGCCCGCCGAAGTCAAGACACCGGCAGTGGATGCGGAAATGAGAGACAAAAACACAAGGATAGTAATGACGACAACGATGAAAACAAAGACATTATCGAGCTTAGAAACGACGGAATCCAAATCCTTCAGGGAGGCAGTGATCGACTTGCGCTCTCTGCCGATTTCCACGCAGACGGCTTCCAGTTCCTCCATTGAGATATCACCATTCATATCCTTGTCAAACATGGTGAAGGCAGCTTCCGCTTCGTCGCCGTTGTCAAAGGCGGCCTTTAGGTCTCCGGAGAAGATGGTATCGAAACCGTCGCGGACAAAAGTCCGATACATACGGCGGGCGAGGACCTGGCTACCTGATGTGGTGCTCAAAAGGGTCAAAACGACTTGGTGAGGGTGGCTGCTTTTATTCACGGTCTTCCCTGTGAAGTCACCTGCGACGGCTCCAGCTACGTCCCCAACCTTGTTCAAGGCAGATCGGGCAACTCGCTGGGCGACCCCAGCATACTGCATCGGGGTCCTGTTTCCGGAGGTCTGTGGCGGGGATTCCTCAAAGTCGCGATCCTCCAATTTAATTTTCTGCTTGGAATAAGCATATAGCTTCGCCAAGCTGCCGATCTGGAACTTGTTGATCTCAATTCGATCCGCATATGTTCGTAAATGGAAGCTGATGGCGATCAATTGGATGATGATTTTCTCTATAAAATTGAGAGTTGCGCCGACGAAGACTGAAACGATGATTTTGTTAACAACGACCTCCCACGGCTTGGTCCCGCGGTCGCCATCGATATGGTGATTGGTCATGGTTGGCAAGAAGGAGATCTCGATCCCGAGCCACCAGAAGAAAAGTGTAGCAGGTAGTTCAAGCTGCTTGCCCAAATCGCGCCACTTCTTCGAATTATTGGTGAGGACACTAGCTACCATACTCATGGGGGTTGGGAGAAATTTGGCGACAATACGGGCAGCCCAGAGAGTGAGCCAGACGATCTCCAGCCAGACGGAGAACCAGAGCAACTTTACACCACCTACATTGGCATGAGGATAAGCGAGCAAGCCGACCAATAGCGGGATCAGAAGGATTAAGACGAGCGGAATGATATAGGTAAAGTATCGGACAAGGAAACTGGATTCATGAACCTTTTTGAAAAACCTGGCCAGATTCGTTGTGGGATTATCGGGTGGGTTGTAGATGGCGGCCTGCTCATGCAGAGGGTTTGTTGCGGCCTCGAATTCGTCCATGGGTTCGGAACGTCGGGAGCGAGTGCGTGAAATGGACATGGACCGGCCACTCTTTTCATTAGAAGGGACCTTTTCCTCAATCGATACAACACGTTCTGCCTCCATCATAGCCAGTTCGTCATCTAGACGGTGGGCCACTTCCCTGGCGTGGGACTTTCGGGACGGTGAGGTACACGGCGAGTAGTGCGATTCTTGATCCATGGCGGCATCGACATCCGGGGGTTTTAATTTCGGGTTTGGAGGTTGTGAGCCATCATTCACCACAGTGTCGTCCTCTGAGGAGCTATTATTCCGCAGGGGCGCCTTCTCATTGTGCGGTTTGTAATTCGGGTTCTCGTCAACCGGCGAGGTCATATTGGAGTAGGTGGCTAGGACGTTTGTATCCTCTATGCGTTATTTTTATTTCCCCCCCCCTCCTCTCGATTCTTCGGTCGTTGTTGGTTGGGCTATAAAAGCCGCAAATGCCCCAGAGTGTGACCCGATGCGGGACGTAGTGGTTAAAGGAAACGGTAATGTGCTGTGAGTAATCGCGCGGCGGTATAGGATATCGAAGGGCGGCGGGGAGAGGTTTTATTTAAGATGAACTATTACAGTCGAAAAAATGGCATATTTCGGAAGCCAAGTGATGAATGAATGGAGGCGACTGATTGACGAGGGAATCGCGAGGGGGAGAGCTGGCGGTTGTGGTTTGACGAGGGGCTATTGTTTGATAAGTTATAGTGGAGTAGTTCGAGAATCGGGCAAGATGCGATCTGCAAGATTAAGAGAAAAGACGGAGAAAGAAAGGGGAGGTAGCGGTATGCCAAAAACGGAGATAAATAAAAAAATATGGATAAAAGCGAGGGAATAAGAAGGGAGAAGGGGATGGGACGATGACGAAGCCAGTCAATGGCGGATGGCCATTGTTCTGTTGTTCTTGTTCTTGTCCGGAGCGGGGAGAGACCGAGAGGAGAAGAGATTTTATTTTCTCTTGTACTCCGTAGTTAGTTAGTTAGTCGACTATTCCGAGGAGAGTGGGACTGTCCCGCTGCGTAGTTCAAGGGCTAAAGACAATGTATGTACAGTATGTAGTAATAAGTTAATAATATTGTACATGTAAGTAGGTATGCGACGCGAACCAAGACTCAAGACGGGGAAGATCCGCTGTAGTTTGTTAGTAGTGACGGATAATGGGTAACTATACCAGCTCCTGGTGAGGTCCCAACACAGCAGAGCAACAAGTCCTTTTTTTTTTTTTTTTAAACCCAATCACACCACACCACAACACTGACACTAACTACTCCGTACTGATGCCGTAACACGGGCAGATGGGTGGATGTGCTGGTGGAGACAATAATAGCAAACCTCTGGCCACTGTTATTCACTGCTCATGGATTCTTCTTCCTCCTGGAGTTCTGGAGGTTCGTTGGAGTGGAGATTGTAGCTAGTAGTGTCATTGGAGTGGAGTGGGGAGTGGGGATGACATTCCTTGGCATTCCTGGGCATTAGTTCCTGGAATGTACAGTACATGTACAGTACAAGATAAAACGAAATGAAGCACCGCAACAAACAGGCTTGATGTTGTCATTGGAATAATAAGAAGAAGAAGAAGAAGAAGAATAATAATAATAATAATAATAATAATAATAATAATAATAATAATAATAGTTCATCGTTATAGTAAAATGAATTGAGATCCTAGCTGTTATGTATACACTTCTTAATACGCAGCGTATAAAATTCTCCGAACCCATTATTCCATTCGCAACACGCCACATTCCACATTGTGATCAAGGCGTTAACTAGCCATCGCCACCCGCGGGCTAATAATAATAAATAATAACGGCTTGACAAACGGGGAAGGGGAAAAAGAGTTTAATTTCATGTTTCAAAACCCAGAAAGGATCCAGGCACAGAAATGCGAAACCGCTGCGCACAGTACAGTACAGTAGTTACGGGTCAACCGAACCATTATTTCAAGATCAAAGATTCTATTATTAGTTAGTCCAAGTCGGAGTACAGTAACTACGTACTGTACTGCCATAAAAACTACCCGCCATCCGACGTCGGGAACCCCTTTTTCGGCTTCTTGGCTTTTGATATTTGCCACCATCAGGAGGGATTAGAGATTTGGGATTTTGGGGGTTTTTCCCCCCTCCTTCTCTTAGCCATTCCTGGGGTCCGCAGAACTAGACCGACCTGGTGAAAATATAGTAATGATAATGCCAAATATGCTAGTTACCTGCATCCATCAGCCCCGCCTTTTTGTGAACGAAGAGGAGATGATAAATTCACCACCCGTGGCCTTGAAAAGAGAAGAAAAGAAAGAAAAGAGCTAGACAACGATCAGGATATAGGTAAGTTACTCTGTACAGAGCTTATACACATGTACATAAATAAGAAATCTACTCATCACAACAACACTAAAGCAATGAAATATTATGTGATAATATTGAATTTGAATTCTCCAAATGTCTAAAGGTTCAATAATAAGTTACTAGTTGAGTACATAAACTCGTATTGAGCTTATAATACAGTAAAGTTGAGAGAAAGATCATAACCAATATGATAGCATAGCATGTGCAGATAATTATAATGCCATCAAGGACCCCCCCTTGTATAACCTCTAACTAGTTACCTCTGTCAAGCAAGAATTGATGGAGTGAGATCACATGCAGACTCTAACTTAGGGTTTGCATAAAAAAGACCACAAGCACTCATAACTATAGTAGCGACAAGACAGGTAAGAACATCATCCTCTTGAATGTGGATTGATAAAAGTCTGACCCCTCATGTCATCATGGTATATGAAACTGTGATGAATTTCTTGTGTCAGAAAGAATGCTTGATGCACATCCTGTTCATCTTTTGCTCCATCCCCTTGCTAGCAGTGCAGTCTCCCCAGTATGATCAAAGGCAATGTCATGTCAATTCCAATGGGGTCAATCTATAAAAATGAGTCACAGAAGAGAGAAAGGCCATGATTTCATGAATATAATCTCAAAGTGAAATGATATTCATTATTTTCATTGTGATGAAGTAGGTAAACTTGATGAAGATTTCTTCTCTTCTAACTTTTGACAAGCTTTTCTATACTCCGCAGTTGTATTGAGGATGCATAAAGGATAGATAGGGATATATATCTATATTCTGCGGTGCTCTGCACCCAACGATATCTTTAAGACGGCGCGAGTTTTGGGTAACTAGTTAGGGGAACTGCGGCGCGTTTCGAGCTTGCACATCGTTCAGTGGAACAATTTTTCATCAGGACTCCACAATCTAATTTCAGGCATAAACCCTTCCCGAAAGCTTAATTAATTTACCTTTTGTTACTGTGCTAATATGTAAAAGGGCAATAGTTTGTGTCGCAAGTCCAGGTTCGATACGCCGAGGTAATCCTCGCAAAGCAAACTAAGATCAATTCGAGTTGGCGTGTGGTAATCTGTAGTTACAGAGTATTACTGTGGTATGATAGTTAGGTCGTCCCTGGAAGCTGGTTGGTGATCTATTCTTAGCCTTAAGCGCCGATACAAGCGTTTGTCTTTCTTGTCTGCAGGCGTGGTTAAGCGCTGTCCTCCCGTCCCCTCCCCAAACTCGCTTGAAAGGAAGAACGAACTCCCATCCATCCCATGCTCCCCATCTTACCTTTTCCGCCTGTCCTCACTCGAGAAACACACGTTTACGGCGGACGGCTTCTCCAAGCTACTTTCAAGTTCACAGAATACGTGACAACGACGAAATCTTTGGGCGATTATTATGCAGCGTCCTCCGCTTCGTTGAATCGTTGGCGGGAATGTCTGGCATTAGTGGTTGGTTTCGGCAAACTCAGAAGTTCATGTGGGTCAATCAGCCAAACCCCCAAGCCAGCGGCATTAAACCCACAGACCAGATTTCCTCTGGATGATTGTGACATCTCCAAAGTCTCGGATGAAACTCTCATCGGTCTTTTTGACACTGCGCCAGTCCTCCACTCCTTTTAGGGAACCCACATCGTCCGCCTGTCTCGGACACTCATTCTTAAAGGCGGTGTCAATGCACGACCATGTGAAGCCAGCATTCTGAAGCTTGTTGGCGAAAAAATCCTCAATTCCGGTCCCCAAGGTTCATCGAATCCTCAACATTGAGACTGAAAATGTTTATTTCGGTTGCAAATGCTTGATGTAATGGATTTCGTTGAAGGCAGAGTAGTTGAGGATTTTTGGAACAGTCTGACTGAAACGGAACGTGTGGAGATTGTCAACCAAACAGCCTCTATACTCAATACTCTGCAGTCCGCTCCGGTGCCCCAGGATCCAGGACCAGTGGGCTGTAAAATATGCTTGGCCCAGGGTTTTTGGTTCAGTAGTATGGGAGGCAGGCCCTTCAACTTGAAGAAGGACCTGGAAGACTGGTTCAACCGCAAACTTACAATCTGCCAACATTTCAAACAATCCCCAAGCACTCTTCCACAATTTCGCATCGACAAACTAGTTCTCACATATCAGGATATTGCTCCCCGAAACCTGATATTAGGCCCTGATGACAAGGTCTGGCTGGTTGATTGGGGCTATGCTGGGAGATATTCCGAAGGATCCGATGCTGCCTCATTGAGTGTGAGGAGGTATAGTGCACCACTTTTTACTGATATGTTGCTTGAGATGAATCCCAAGCATGTGGGGCTGACGGAGCAGTTGAAGTGGATAGTGTATGCTTTGACGACGGGACAGTTTATTTATGTTTTGGCAAATGTTTGGCAAATCGGCAAATCGGCTGTTGTATACCCTCCATCAGCTTTCAAGAGAAAGATTTTTACCCAGGCATTATCTTCGCTTACTACTCGAGCTCATTGACGAAAGGTCAGTGGTGGACGGATTCCGTCTCCAATCTAGGTGATGGTCTAGTACTACTATTTCACAAGATAGCCTCGTAGCAGTATTGCGCCGTCCCTGCCACTTCCAATCGAATGCTTACTTTGCTTGGTGAGAGGTGGTTCACTGGCTACCATGCTGGAAATGCGAGGTGCCCAGGAACAGTCGGCCAACCATTGCCCGACTGTTCCTTGGTGATACACGCCGGACCGTAACCAATGCTGCACACGAAGCAGAGACATATCGAGTTCTTCATTAGTACTGTAGTCTGTGGCCAGTAGAAAATGATTGCTGTGACTGTGAGGTGCTATGACTAACAAAATATGGGTAGCACTAGGGGTCTCGACATAGGTGCAATGTAGAAAGGATGGAGGGGATATAATATTTTAATGTACTATACATGTATGTACTGTACATTACAAAATGCACGGCATGATGAATTAAAGATATAGATAGTTATAGCATGTTTTTCCGTCTATAGATTATTCGAAGTGACGTGAAGAGAGTTTTGGTGAACCGTGGGAACTGGCAGGAGAGGGACAGGGGAAGGAAGTTAAGATAGTATATGAAGGGGAGCCCGTTGTTTATTTATTTGCCTTGATTTCTGGATAGTGAACACACAATGGCCTCTCTCTCTCTACATCCGGGAAGAACAGAGCAATTTACCCGAAGAAGAGATGATGATGATGATGATGATGATGATTGTGGTGGTGGTGGTGGTTGTGATTGACACTGAGAACGGCTACATGAAGTGGACAGCACCTCATCCACGTGATCTCAGAACGCATCCCCTCTCCCCCTTTTCTTGGCGGCCGCTGACGCTAACCGTGTTGGACAGTTTTGATGTGTTTGGCAGTTCCTCACGTTCAACCTCTGCCCTTCCAAGTTCTCCTCTCCTCTCCTCTCTTCTCTCCTCTCTTCTCTCTCTCTCTCTCCATTCCAAACGCCGTCTTTTGGTGATTGCTTGCTCTCCTTCTCCTCCTCCTCGTCGCCCATCCCCATTGTCTCTCCTTCTCTTCCTCTTCCCACGTCTTGCATCACATCTGCCATCATGAGAGGCGAGGTACGTTGCTCTTGAATGTCCCTTTGTTTACCCCCTGCACGCCCTATTTCAACCCGCGTTTGTTGGCACACAACAACGCCTCCCCCTCCCCTCCCCCTTAGCTCACATACACTTGTTAATCCCTTCCGTCCATCAAAATATAACGATTACACACCCCATATATTATTGTGTTGTTTTGATATGATGCTGACATTTAAAATTACGCCTTTAGGTCTGCCATCTCCATATCGGCCAGGCTGGTACCCAGCTTGGAAACAGTGCTTGGGAACTGTACGCTACCAAATCCCTCTATTCCCTCACCGCTTTTCCACTTTGCTTATCTTCCCTGATAATCACGCCTGAAATTACACCTGCATTTCTAAGTACCATGACTAACCGCCAATGCGACGTGTCTATTAAAATTTCAGATATCTTCTCGAACACGGTTTGAAGGCTGATGGTCGTCTGGACCCCGAAGCCACAGACATTGGTGAAGCTGGGTCCTTTGAAACCTTCTTCACCGAGACGGGCAGCGGCAAATATGTTCCTCGCTCTATCTTCGTCGATTTGGACCCTTCCGTATGTCTAACCAGGATCTTCCAAGGGAAAAGGAGCATCATGACAGGGTTTGGTTAACTGGTTAACTTACGGACTATATTTAGCCAATCGATGAAATCCGCACTGGTCCCTATCGCCAGCTCTTCCACCCTGAAATGTTGATCAGCGGAAAGGAAGATGCAGCAAACAACTGTATGGATAGGGGACTCTCATTGTGCCGATTGGAGAAATTTGTGACTGCTGACACATCTGTTACCAGATGCCCGTGGTCACTACACCATCGGAAAGGAACTTGTCGACAGTGTCATTGACCGAATTCGCCGTGTTGCTGGTATGACTGCCATTTTTGGTTTATTTTCTAGATACTCGTGGATGCTACAATTCCCCCCCCCCAATTCGAATGAACAGACCACTAAAAAGCACTTACAATAGACAACTGTTCGTCCCTCCAGGGATTTTTGATCTTCCACTCTTTTGGCGGTGGTACCGGTTCCGGTTTCGGTGCCCTCCTCTTGGAGCGTCTCTCCACCGATTACGGCAAAAAATCCAAGCTCGAATTCGCTGTCTACCCAGCACCCCGTGTCTCAACCGCCGTTGTCGAACCATATAACGCCGTTCTCTCTACCCACAGCACCATTGAGAATTCTGACTGCACATTCCTCGTCGACAATGAAGCTGTCTACGACATCTGCCACCGCAACCTTGATATCCCCCGCCCTGGTTATGAACATCTCAACCGCCTCATCGCCCAAGTTGTCAGCTCCATCACATCTAGCTTGCGCTTCGATGGTGCCCTGAACGTCGATCTCAACGAGTTCCAGACCAACTTGGTCCCTTACCCTCGTATTCACTACCCCCTCATCAGCTACGCACCCGTTGTATCCAGCAACAGAAGCTCCCATGAAAGCTTCAAGGTCAACGACCTTACCTTCCAATGTAAATATCACATCGCCCTCCAAACCCAATCCCCCTAACCAGTCAAGTGGATCAGCTCCTAACATGAATACAGGCTTCGAACCAAACAACCAGATGGTCGTCTGCGACCCACGTAATGGAAAATACATGGCCGTGGCTCTCCTCTACCGCGGTGACGTCGTCCCCCGCGACTGCAACGCCGCTGTTGCCTCCCTCAAAGCTAAGACCTCCTTCAACCTTGTCGAATGGTGCCCGACTGGCTTCAAGATCGGCATCAACTACCAGAAGCCCATGCGCGTGCCAGGCGGCGAGCTCGCTCCAGTCGACCGCTCCGTCAGCATGTTGTCCAACACCACCGCAATTGCCGAGGCCTGGAGCCGTCTTGACCACAAGTTCGACCTGATGTACTCGAAACGCGCCTTTGTGCATTGGTATGTTGGCGAGGGAATGGAGGAAGGCGAATTCTCCGAAGCACGTGAGGATCTTGCTGCGTTGGAGAAGGATTACGAGGAGGTTGCCAGCGATAGTCTGGACACGGAAGGGGATGAGGGTGTTGAGTATTAAATATGACATGAGTCACTACCCCATTTTTCGAAGTTTCCTCTGCTTCTTTTTTATTTGAAATTACAAGACAAGACAGAGAGAAAGCAGAACACAATAGTCTGTTATGATACGTCTCCTTGCCTTCCCCATTCCCAAACAACCAACCCCCTTGTTTCTTGAAACCGTCTCTGTATTGTTTCTCCCTGCTCATGCCAGCGCCAACGTCTATGCGAGTGCCATCCTTTTTGAGCTATACCATCTTATTTTAATTCAATCCTATTCGTTTGAGATGCTCTCTTTTAATGTCTGTTTCTTGTTGTGAAGTGAAAAGTGTTGTTTGTTGGATGTTTTCGTTCGTACATAAGGATAACATAGTATAGCAAAATTGACGTCGAGGTGGGACAGTTGATATCGACGTAATTATCAAGCCTATCCGTTGGGGTCTTTAGTTGTTTTCGATTGAGGTAACGTGGGAGGTATACCACTTGACGAAAGTATAGCTCACAATGGAGATAGTTTTGCCGTCCGTAGGAAGTACATACTATAGCAAACCTAGCACAAGCTACTGGGTTGGAAGGCATGCCGGGTGCGTATATGTACAGTGCAATACAAAGAAAACGTATCCAGGAATGTTGCTCAAGTATATATGTATCCTAACTAGCCAAGCATGTGCTCAATATCTTGTAAGGATTTATCCTGGCTCCATTCCCATTTGAGCATAGAGAAACACCAGAACTCCCCTGATGGGCAGGTGCCCTTATAATACAACCAAAAAAGCGGCTCATACCCTTACCAAAATTTCAGACCAACGTAAAAACAGCTTATAATCCACTCAGCACCACTATTCCCCACCACCATCACCATGATCACCACGATTCATCTCCTTCAACAACCCCAAAACATGCTCATACGTCCACATCGTCACAGCACTCGCCGGCGCAGCCTTGATCAAACTAACCGTCAACCCCCTATACAACCCCCTAACCCCCTGCGCCGCCAAAATATCCCTTATAGTCCTCAACACCCCCTCATACACGGGGATATTGGTGTGAATATACCTCGCCCTCGTCGGGCCCTGCACCTGCAACCGCTTCCTCACGAGATCCAACGGAAACACCCCCGTCTTCGCAATCACGCTCGCCACCACGCCCGCGCCCGCATCGCCCGTACCATACGGCAATTCCCAGCCGGCAATGGGGTTGCGCACGGCCTCGTACGCAGCGAAGAAAAGGCCCATGTACGGGATGATCTGGGCGATGGCGGCGGTGGCGCCGCGGAAGAAGCCGCGCGGGCCCTCTGTGCGCGCGATGTCGCGCACGGACGCGCGGAGGGAGGCATAGATCTTGTCGTTGCCCTGGGCGGCGAAGCGGGTGCGGAGCAGGTCGAGGGGATATGTGGAGGCGGTGGCAAGGCCGCCGGCGACGGCGCCGGAGATGAATGATTCGGCGGGCTGGGGGATGGGGTGTGGGAGGAGAGGGAGAGGGGGGAGGGCGCGGAGGGCGCTAGAGACGGCGCGGTAGCTGGAAAATTGGATGCCGCCATAGCAGACGTAGAGGAGTTCAGCGGGTATGTTGCCTTTCCAGAGGCCCTGGAGGTTTGGGTTCAGGTACTTAGTTGGTTGGTTCAATGGGGTTGTGGAGAGGAAAGATATGGATTGGACGTACTGTTATGCCTTCATCGCGGAATATAGACTTGAGGGTTGAGAGTGTCCCTTTGTATACAGGGCCTTTGATGTCGCGGTGGGAGAGGGGGTCGGATAGTGAATGAACTTGGAGCTGCAGGCGGATCTTGACGACATCGAGGGGTGCGATGCAGAATCTAAGGTCTGTTAGAACGTTTTAAAGGTATAAACTCCAGGTATATTGCTGCGTACCTCGAGACCAGGCCAGCAGCTGCGCCTGCAGCAACTACCTGTATTCTGTTGCCCTATAAATTCCGGAAATATTAGTTTTCAAATCCAGATAGAAAAGAGGCCACTGCATATATAATTTTTGATTGAAACATTCCCACTCACTTCCTCATTGAGATGTTCTCCCCCAGCCGACATACACAGACAAGAGTAGAGCAGAGATCTCTCCCGTTTTTCGGTAGTGACCGAAGAGATTCGAAAGGTTAACTGGAGATTTCCAAAGAGAACATGGGTGGAATTGCTCTCTTAAACAAGATATAAACACCAAGAACAACAAGGATTGAATTCATCGCAAAGGAAATAAATATCCAGAAATCCTCCGAATCACGTGATTCGATACTGCCGGGCGATTTTTCCCCTATGGCGGCTCGCAAGAACGACAACAACAACAACAACAACAAGGACGAATGGCAGACAGATAGACGACCCAGTGGCAACAATTAGGCGCTCTTTTGCCTCGCTTATTGATAGCTTAGATTCCCCAGAGAGATTGGCGCCATGTCTTTTGCTCTCGCGCCTCTGCGCCAGGCTCGAGCGAGGCTGGCCGCTTCATCCCAGCTTCGACGGACTGCCGGCCAAATTGTGTACCCGTCTATTCTACAGCTGCGAGCGGGTTACAGCGATTCCGCCGAAACCCAGACTGCCCCCGAGGCATCTAGACCGATCGTGAGGAGGATCCCGTATGCACCTGGGAAGGAATCAACAACAAATGGGAAGCCGCTCGTGCGGATGGTCGGAGGATCACCCATGAGGTCCTTTATAATCCCTTCCGTCAAGTCTGCCGCAGTTGGCGAGAATGGCACAGTGATGATTACGACCGCAAACCAACAACTGGTTTATATCCATAGCATTCGATTACGGGATGCCTGTACCTGTCCCAAGTGTGTCGACCAGTCGACAAAACAACGAGAGTTTCGCATGACTGATATACCCGATGACGTTGCCGTGGAGACTGTCAAAGTTCAAGATGGCCAATTGGTAGTGACATGGCAAAATGATATCCCTGGTTATGACGAGTCCCATGTGTCGACATTTTCCCCAGAGCAATTGTCTATTATGACCGCGGTTGAGAAGTTTTTCCGAGCCAAGGAGGGCCGCCGCACCTCTTGGAATAAATCCATTATGGAGGAGAACCAGCATTGGGTTTCGTTCAAAGATTATATGGAGGACGATTCACAATTTTTCCTTGCCATGCGCAGTTTGAAGCACTTGGGCTTGCTTTTTGTCAAGGACATCCCGGATTCGGCTGAGATGGTTGAGAAGATTGCGACCCGCATGGGCCCGTTGCGCAATTCATTCTACGGCCAAACATGGGATGTCCGCAGTGTTCCAGATGCCAAAAATGTTGCCTATACCAATAAACACCTTGACTTTCACATGGACCTGTTGTATATGAAGGACCCACCTGGGTATCAGTTGCTTCACTGCTTAAGGAACTCCTTCGAAGGCGGCGAGTCGCTCTTCGCAGACACCTTCCTGGCGGCGGTACGTTTGCTGCGAAACGATCGCTCTCTGTTCGACGCCCTTGCCAGAACGTCCACTCGTTTCGAGTACAAGAATAACAACCAGCATTACCAATATTCCCATCCTACAATCGAAATCGAGGCTGGAGAGGAATTCCTCGGAAACCCGCCCAAGACGAGCACTACCCCTTACGTCAACTACGTTAATTATTCCCCGCCGTTCCAAGCACCTTCCTACCTAACAGAGCGCGTGAAAGACGTTTCGGATGTGAAACTCTACCTTAAAGCCATGAAAGCCTTTGCTGCCGAGCTTGCCAAGCCAGAGAACATATTCAAAATTAAACTGGAACCGGGCCAATGCGTGATATTCCAAAACCGTCGTGTGGTTCATGCGAGGAACGCATTTGACCTCTCCGGGGCCAGCGATGGGGAAAACAGCGGCGAACGATGGTTGCGCGGCGCATACGTGGACGAGGATGCTTTGAAGTCGACATATCGCCAGCTGAGTCAACGGGATCAGTTCAGTTGGATGAACCACCCCGCACGCAAGCTTGTAGCGAGTTTATATGAGCAGAAGACGCAGACTGCTACGAAGGATGTTTAAAGAAGTCGAGGATCAAAGTCAAGACACCCAGAGGCAAGGGCTCCGAGCTTTTGGGCCCTTGCGTTTGTGAATCCCCCTGAACGAATGATAGAGGTCAAGAAATATGTAGTTTAGCTATATTGACTAATCTTATTGTTCAGCATCTGGTCAGGGCGATTCTAATTTTTTTTTTTTTTTTTTTTTTTTTTTTTTTTTTTTTTTTCGATTTTCATTTCAGTGGGTGGAATAGTATTTGGAGAAGGAATCAGTATGCAGTGAAGCGAGGAGCTAGGGATTGTGATCTTAGAAATGCATATACTGGCAATTGTGCACTGTATTTTAGAATTCGATATTTCCACTTCCTCTTCTCGTGTTATTTTACATTTAATTGGCAATCCCCTCAATTCCATTGATTTTGCATTATTATCTGATTTTGGGCTTTATAACCTGCTGTCTGCTGTATCCATCCCGGGAAACCCTCTCTCGGAAAGTGCCCAGTCCGATTTGAAGGGTGGATACTATGCCAAGTGGCCCACGTTGCTTTCATGCTCAACTATCCCATGCGTGGAGATAGCACTAGGGAAAAGCGGGAGAAGGTCGAACTGCTTTTAGAACAAGTATACCACGGAAGATGTAGAGAGTCGTAAGAAATAGATCTGAATACGAAAATTCAAGACGGAAGAGTTTACTGAAGAAATTGCATTCCGCAATTTAATCAGGGGAGTGGAAAGAACGAAAGATATCTATGCTTATCCTCGCGGTGCTACCGAGTAATCTTTGAAAAACTCCGGGTTTGCGCTGACTTCCTCCTTGACCTGTTGGGATTTGAATAGCCGCAGGTTAGTTACTGGCATTTTACAGTTGGGTTGGTCCAGGATAAGAAACCCAGGAGGAGAAGCGTAGGGAGGCCAAACGTGGCCCATAGAAAACTTATACATATAAAGAAAATTAAAAGAATAACTCACTATATCAAGTCCACCCACCAACTCGCCCCCTATCCACAACTGAGGGAACGTCGGCCAATCAGCATACTCCTTCAAGCCCCGCCTCACGTCCTCATCCGCCAAAATATTGAAGAAGCCATATTTCACGCCATTCTCACGAAGTATAGCGACGATCTGCCGGCTGAAGCCGCACTGCGGATCGTTTGGTGTTCCCTTCATAAATAGCATGACTGGGGCAGCCTTCACTAGTTCATCCAGACGGGCGAAAAGCTCTTCATTCGTGGGCGGTGGGGTGGGGGAGGTGGAGGTTGCGGCTGCCCCATTTGTGTTGGCGCCAGGGGTATCAGAGGTGCTAGAGGTGGAGAGGTCTTTTCTTGGTTCTGCATGAAGAGGGGGGGGGATGGATTGCTTTTCTGCCCCGGTGGTACTGCCCGTTGCTGTCGCACCGCCGTGTTGTTCAATGGCGGCGCGGGCTTTGATTGCGTCGGAGCCGGAGAGGGACTGGAGGGTCTTGCCGTCGCGGACAAGGACGATAAAAGGGACTGCAGTAACGTCATATTCTTCGGAGATATCCGGGAGCTCTTCAGCGTTGACGCTGACGAAGGAGATGGCGGGCGGAGTGGTGGCGGGATAGGTAGAAGCGAGGGTGGAGAGCACGGTGCGCATCTGGGTGCATGGTGCAGCCCAGGGGGTGTGGAAATAGAGGACTAGAAGAGCGGATGATGGGAGGGAGGAGACATGATTATAGAAGGCTTCTTCCGAAGCAATTTCGTTCAGGGTTGACATGGTTGCGGGTTCCAAGCTGGATATATCCCGTTGTAAGGCGGGGTATGACTCGAGTAATAAAGGTCCTATTGGAAGCTGGAGAGAAAAGAGGCACTTGGATATGCGACGAGTAAGATGTTATACAGAGAACTACGGGAGGAGAGGACAGAGAAATGGAAGTTCGCGAATTTGGCGACGACGGCAAAGGCAATGTCTCCGGGGGATGTAGTTATGGATGGATTTGTATGCTGCGAATCTCCCGCGGTCGGATGTAATTTTTTTTATCAGATTGTCCGATCGCGTTATCAGATTTGTCACAGAGCTTTGGAGTTCTTGGTGCCGGATAATCATTGTGCCGTTACATCACGTGGCAGAGGCAAACGGAGCAAACCGCAGCTGGATGCCAAGCCATGGTTGTATCTCCAGCGCATTACGCAGTTGCAGTGCAGTACATACATATAGCTACTTAAACAGCTTGATACGCAGCCCTGGAAGCCCTGGCTACTTCCCTTGGTGAATCAGAATATTTGTTGCTAGACCACCAGAAGCCATCGGGGCCCGACAACAAGGCTGAGACCGAGCTGCCTTTCACAGTGTCGGATTGGGTGTCACGGATGAATATGTTGAAGACATATGAATCTTATCTGTATCAAGATCTGCTTGTTATATTATCCATACACTATCTAATCTATCTATTTCATACAAAAGATGGAGCTATTTATAGTAAAATATATGTGCGAGCCAAGAGAGCTAGCATAAGTGAGTATTAGATAAGTATTGTAGTAAGCTGATGATGATGAGAAATATTGTAGTAATATGATGTTAATGGCATTCAGTAATATGATGTTGATGGCATTCAGTAGTGTATAACTTCTTTTTCCTGACACACCCTCTTCAGTGAATGTAACATGTAAATGAAAGTGTAAATGAAGATGTAAATAAAGCTGCAACAAAAAGAGTGTAGATGAATCTGTAGAGATTATATCAAGATAGATTATTTAATCTGCTTACATCTTGATGATATCTGATATATCAACTAGGCCTAGCATCTTGACAAATTCTGTATGTTTCTGGTGTGGCAGAGCCTTAGTGAGGCCATTCACTGACATCTGAGTCATAGACACTCAATCAACTGTAATATTGCTGAATTGAACATGTTCTCAGAGTCAGCTTTCATATATATCAATATGACAGAGCTTTGTAATTATAGAGGAATCTTTCTTTGTAAGAATGTTAACAGTTTGATAATTATCACATTGAATACAGATCTTATAACCAGATTCAAATTGAATATATTAAAAGAATCTATCTCACTAGATAGACTTCTTATCAGCTTATGAGATAGCAACAAGCTCAGCTTCTGTAATAGATATAGTTATAATTATCTATCTATTTGATTTTCAATCAATAGTCTCACTGAATAGTTTGAAGATATATTCTTATATAGAGCAGTGATTCAGATTATCTGTGAAAGAGATATTACTAATGACTTCAATGATATCAGATTTAAGATCAAGTTGTAGAGATCTGTCAATATTACTATCATATTAAATAGCAAGATTCTTCATATTATATAGATAAGATATTATTCTATTCATCTCTGATAAGTGATGTTCTGATGAATTTATCATGAATATAGCTAGTTTACTCACTGTATATGTGATATCAGAGTAAGTTATCACTGCTAAGTAGATGCAGAAGCTGATTCATTATTGATAATAATGAATTTTTGCAGATCTAGCTAACTTGTTAAAAGACTCTAACAGAGCACTAGTTAGTGAGATATATACCTTGCAGATGTGTGTAAGATGATATGTATTAACTATCTTATCAATATAGGTATTCTGACATAGTCAGAGCTTCAAGTTGAGATGATTGTGTATTATTCATATGTTGAGAAATCATTTCAAATCTCTCATCTATCAGATCTTGTAGACATTTTTAAGATCTTTAATTAGTTAATCTCTTTCTTTTGAATCTTCTCATTATGATAGAATGATAATATCATTTACATAGAAGAAGATGATTAATTGATTATTAGAGAAGAGATATTGATTCTCTAATATAGAGATGAAGTCTAATATTCTCAATATTGAAGATAGTTCATTTAATCAGAGAAGAGATAATCTATGTAATTCATATAGTGCTTATAGAAGTTTTAGCATATAATTTATATACTTCAAATTTTGCATTCTCTTCAACTTTCATCATTCATCAGATAGTTTCACATATACTAACTCATTAATATCACTATTAATAAAGACATTGATTTCATCTAGCTATTCTGCATCTAGATCAAATGCTGCTGTTAAAGCTAATAAGATTCAGAGATCTCTGACAGCTAGTGTGTGAGCTTTTATAGTGAGATCTGTGATTGATTGAAGATCTCTGCATACATAGATGTGAGCTTTGTATTTCAAAAGAAAACCTTCATCATTGAATTTGTAGATGAATACTTATTATAGAGAGATAACTGAGACATCTCTCTGTGATCTGCTAGTAATTTCATATATATTCTGCAGAGATATACTATCTCATTCTCACTTAACAGTGTTCTCAAATTCTTCATAATGTGAGTGTTTTTCAACATCTGCTCAATGATTCAGTGAATCTGGCATTTGAGATCTATGAATTCTTGAAGTTGATATGAATGCTGTTGATGTAGCTGTATTATTGATAACTGTGAAAACAGTATTAGAAATTAAATTTTGAGACTTGTTAAAGTCTGTGTGTGAATTTGAATGAGAGAATGCATCATTGATCATTTGATAAGAATTGTCTTTGACAATTGAAACTGTCACAAAATGAGCAGCTCTGCATTTTCAGGTTCTGCAGCTATCAATGATATTTACTTCATCAAAGTCAGTACTGATATCATGAGCTCTAGGTGCAATGTTTCATATTCTATTATCTATCATAGCTGAATAAGTATTAATATCAACATTGAAATCTGTTGACTCTGGTGTTGAATCTGGTGTAGAAAGAATCAAAACATTATTTTTCTTCTCTATTTTTTCAGAGCTTTGAGCATTTTCTTCAGAATGAAAAACATCAATATCTGCATCTATAATCTCTTTCAATTGATTGATAGTAGTCATTGATAGTTCTTGAACTTTCATATATAGAAGCTTCACCTCCTTAGATACTCAATCTCTTAGTTGTCTTTTAATGTAGAGGTCTTCTGAGTTGAATTTTCTATTCTCATCAAACATCACATCTCTTGCTCTTATCACCTGTTCTAAGTGTGGAATCCAAATTTGATAGATGTTTGTTGAATTATATTCAACTAGATATTCAATATATGCTCAAGAATCTAGCTTCTGAGAGTGGTTTCTATTGAGAACTTCATCTGATATCTTTGCATAGATGTGACATTCATAGATTTGAAGATGAGCACAGAAGTGCAGTTTGATTTGTAAGAATTCTTTCAATACTTATAGAGATGACTTTCAATCTAGAATTCTAGTTGAGGTTCAATTCACTAGATAGATGGCAGTAAGTGCAATCTCAGAGAATAGTGATTGTGACAGAAGAGATTCTATCTGTAGAGTTCTTGTCTTTGTTATTAATATTACTTCTGCTCACTCTGCTGCATCATTTTATTCATGAATATACTCTGAAGAATACTTCATCTCTAGACTCTCATCATTCACTTAATTTATGAAATCATCTGCTTTCTTAATTGCAGTATCATTGTTGATATGAATAATCTTTGTAATACAGTTGAATTGATGTTTAATTCAATTGATAGCTTGTCTAAGAGCTTTTCAGATTTCTGATTTTCGGATAGCTGTTATAGCTATATGGAAACATAGATAATCACACATGAAATGTATGAGATAACACTCACCATTATAGCACTGTGTAGGGCCATGTGTGATATCCGCGTGTAGGCATTTGAATGATATTTGAGATCTAATGTGAGAATATCTAGATATTTGATTTTTTACATTAGAAAGATGACAGAGTTTGCAAAGCTCAGTGATAAGCTCATCTGCAGCATCTTCTAGATTGATGATTTGAACATCAGTTGCATCATTTACAAGCTTTTGAATGACGATTTTTAATGAATGTTCTAATCTCTTATGCCATGTAGACTGAGTAGCTATAGAGATCTTAGGTTTTTAAGAAGGTTTTATATGTATTGACAGGTTGAAAGAAGAATGATTTGTAGAAGTTGAAGAATTTGAAGATTTCATTTTTTCAGATATAGTGATGTTAGATGTGTGTGATGTGATAGCTGCATCAGCTTCAGTAGTGGATTTTTCTGAGATAGTTGAGAAAACAGCTGTTTCACTATTATATTCTGTAACTAGCAATCTCTTAAATACTTCAATGCATGCAAAGATTGTATTATCTATGCATTTTCACAATCTGAAGTCTTTTCCATCATAATAGATGCCTTCTATATGGAAACACAGTTTTCATATAATGATATTTGTATGGAAATTCAGAATGTAAGCTGTGTTGATAAGTTTGACATTGAACTGCTTTTCAGCTTCATTTATCATGATAGTTCTAACAGTTTCATAATCTTCAACTTTAGTGCTGAAATCACCTGTATAAACTTCTGCATTCTTGTTCACAGGTGTAAAGAATAGAAAATGTGTTCAATTATTGCATATATGCTGTTTCACTTCAGTATCAAAGATTCAGGAGTTTCAGAGATAGAAGTGAGAATGTGAAGAGTTCATTGATATTTTTCAGATTTGCTGATTGATAGATTGATTATCAATAGATTGATAATCAATAGATTGATAATCAATAGATTGATGATCAATAGATTGATAATTAATAGATTGATGATTGATAGATTGAGAAACTGATTACTTCAGAATTATTTCTTCTATAACTGCTTCATTAACATCTACTATATCTGTATTTATGAATAAATCTCTAGATATCACATGATCAATACATCTCTTCAATTCTTGATTTTTAAGAACTTGATCAATCTGAGTTCTCTTCTCCTTATTTTTCTTTCATTCAGATGACTTTCTTGATGAATTGAGATAGTAGTACTGAGTGTATCAGTGATGAGCTCTGCAGATGCAGTTTTTAAATATCACTGATAATGATTGCTGAGATCTTTTATTAAGAATAGTAAAGTTCATAGGTTTATCTTCTTTGAGAATACTTATTTCTCTATATCATTTCTTAAAGTTCTTAACTAACTCTATCAAAGATATGACATCTTTATCATATCAGACATTCTTAGCTCATGCTTGTATATAATCTGTATCAATAGCTAGATTCACATTTAAGAAATCTTTCTTCAAGTTAAACTGTTCAGCTATATCTGTCTCTTTAATATCATTTTCAATGAGAGATCAGTCATTTAATCACTTCTCTATATCTCTGTTTTTCAGTGCTTTGCAGAGATCATGATATCAGGTTCTCATATCATTCTGATAATTCACAGTCATGAGTGAGAGTTAATCTCTTAATAAATAAATAATCTCTTTCACATCTTCATTCTCACTGCATACATGTCATAGCTCTGAGACATTCACTGTTCTTTATATAACATCTTATATCTTTGTCATACCTTCATTCAATTTCTCATATTTCATATATTTGATTTTTCATGCAGTGATCTTAATATCATATGCTATCTTGACCTCTGCAGTGATTTCTTCTGAATACTCAGGTTTCAGAGATTCTTCTAGTTCAGAGAAGATATCAGGTTTATCAAGATTGATGAAGTCTGATATCTTCTTGTCCTTTGCATATTCTAGCATATACTTGTACCAAAGTTTTCAATCTTCAGAAACACTAAGGTGTACAGTTGCACTAGACATTGTCTTGTCTGTTATATCAGTCAAGTATTTCAGATAGATATGATCAGAATTCAGAGTGTATAACAGTTAAGTATATCAGAATGTATATGAGTGAGAATCTATTGTCTCAGTTCAAATAATAGTTATCAGTTCAAATGAGGACAGGAATCTGATATGATATAACAGTTGAGTTGATCAGACTGTATACAAATAAGAATCAATCATCTCAGTTTGAATGATTGTTTATCAAATTTGAATGAGGATTGAGATCAGTGTATCACACTTCTCTTCAGATACTGCTTACCAGGAATCAGATATGGTATAACAGTCAAGTTGATTGAACTGTATATGAATGAGAATCAATCATCTCAGTTCAAATGATTGTTGTCAAATTTGAATGAGGATTGAGATTGTGATGTATCACACTTCTCTTCAGATGCTGCTTACCGGGCTCATAACTGTCGGATTGGATGTCACAGATGAATATGTTGAAGACATATGAATCTTATCTGTATCAAGATCTGCTTGTTATATTATCTGTACACTATCTAATCTATCTATTTCATACAAAAGATGGAGCTATTTATAGTAAAATATATGTGCGAGCCAAGAGAGCTAGCATAAGCGAGTATTAGACGAGTGTTGTAGTAAGCTGATGATGATGAGAAATATTGTAGTAATACGATGTTGGTGGCGTTCAGTAATACAATGTTGGTGGCGTTCAGTAGTGTATAACTTCTTTTTCCTGACACACAGCCTGACCGATATCAGAACATATATTGCTGACACTCCCAACAGCTTAGGCGGATTCTGTGTCGGATTGCCCCAATAACTAAGGAATTTTCTTCTTCTCTTAACGAGTCATATTCAGTTAGAATACTTCATCCAACCTTAGTGGCCCCTTTCCGTGCCCGTTTCAATATAAAGATTCCGTCTGATATACGATATAGAGTCGTTCACGAAGGATCGAGTGATTAAGTGATTCGATATGTGCTCCCGTTTGGCCAACGAGGAGGGCCGTACGCCCCTGACAGCTAATAATGAAACCAACCAGAGTTATCAGTGAGTTTTGAAAATTCGAGGACAAAACAAGTTTATTCCATTTCTCTTCAAAACAGCTCCGAGCGACTCGTCGAGTGGACCACGGACCACGTATACCGCTAGGAGATAGAGCCTATATATTGTTATCTGGATACCCACAGAGCCGTGAATCCGCTCATTCCGACAGAATTACCTCGACGCGATATGTATGGACCTTTCACTGGTACTATGTTTGGAGACTCTTTTAGGGCTGTCGGATTTTTTTTTTTTCTTTTTTGCTTATGGGGGTTTGAGAGGGGAGAATCTTGTCGTAGCTTGCAGTAGGGGTTGCTGGCAATAGCATTGTGATCTATCCAATTCGTTTTCAGCCTTTATCTATGGCAGTTGGTTTTCACGTAGTATGATCCGTCTATTTGATATCTCCAATCCCAGCAAACGGGACGAAGAAGTCTCAGCTTTGCATTTCATATACGTGCTGTCGTAATTCATGGACTCGTGCACTCGGGAAGGAAACCTCGACGATTAGTTACTCATCCACGCTCCTGATCATGTGGCTCAATTAGGGCTTGAGCTTGTCATGTGATATAACATTGTCCTGGAAATTTTCGCGTGAAGGGATCGCGCATCAACCAACGAGGTGATTATTTTAATGCATTGTATATGCGAACTTTCGAGAAACAAGCTGAGTGTTTCTCGGCTATATGCAACATGCTCTGGTAATCATCTCATGGCCACTCCTGTGTTCTTTCATTGTATTGAATAAAGGTACTACTTAAACCCTTTCTCCATAAAACCTTTCACCCGCTACACATCAGTTCGTGCGATTTGTACAACTGCTGCTTGGCGGTTACTATCTGGCTTCTGTTCTAGCCAGCGGGATCTATGACTTCTGATAAAAAGCGTAAACGCTCGCAGTCATTTGTGCGAGGCGCGAATGTCAGCCCCAGCAGCACATCCCCTACTCCCCAAAACAGCACTGGATTTGGCATAGCAGAGACTCTTTCGATGCTCCGGAACGACAGTAACAATACCTCCCAAACGCCTGAAGCGGCGGCACCAATGAAGAAGCGAAAGAGAGCAGGGAATGAAAAAACGAAGTACCCAACCCTAACCTATATTGAAGGTCGATTGCAATCTTCCATCAGAATTGCAGATTTGCAGGGACTACTCCTTTATTGCTTCGGTGATGGCATTGCGCCGCAATGGATTTCAATGAAGCATTCTGGTCATGTCAGGAAAGTGGTCATCCTAATGGTTCCTGGTCTGGAGATTGGCATGTTTGACGGTACTGTTCCATTGGTACCTGACAAGCGCCATGAGTCTGCATCGGATATGAATGATGCCGACGATTCTACGACTCAGCATACTGAAAGCGAGTGGACCGAAGTCCAGCGTAGCGAGAAAATCACGGGTGAATTTGACCGATGGAAAAATGGCCTTCCAACTGCACCGAGCACAGCTCAATTCAACCCAAAATCGCTTGCGGCGGACCAGCTACCGGACCCCCTCAAACCGTTAGCTGAGATTTTTCCACATGTTTGGCCTGTTAAATCTCCGGGAGACACGAAATATAATAAGGTGCACTCACCGCTGCAAGCAATTCTATTGTCCGCTCTGCCAAAGTCTAAAGAGACAAATGAATCTAAAGGCCCGAAACCTCCTCGTGGCGCAGACAACTGGCCATCGAAACGAACGCCTATTACAACCTTTATTAGTTCACTGAATGATTTGATGGATAACGAATATGTGTTACATCCGGCATTATTCGATAAACCCGAAGATGCCTCTGCTAACGCGAATTTACGAGCCTCTTTGGGACAGGGTCCCGATGATGGCTGGGTGGACACCAAAGTTGACAGGTATTCAGATGGTACAGTGTCAGAGAATGACATTCAACAAGGTAGTATAACATCAGGGCGAGAGATACTGTCCCTAGACTGTGAAATGTGCATCACTGAAGGAGGATCTTCGCAACTCACGCGGGTTAGCCTTGTCTCCTGGGATGGTGAAGTGGTGCTGGACGAATTGGTCAAGCCGGAGAAGCCTATTATCGATTACCTGACACGTTTTTCCGGGATAACGAAAGAAATGTTGGATCCTGTAACAACCCGTTTGCCTGATGTCCAACAGAGGTTGCTGTCTTTAGTGGGCCCTCATACTATACTAATCGGCCACTCTCTCAATTCCGATCTCTCCGCCCTCAAGTTAACTCACCCGTTCATCATCGACACCTCAATCATCTATCCCCACCCTCGTGGATCCCCCTTGAAATCAAGCTTAAAATGGCTATCGCAGAAATACCTCGGGAAGGAAATTCAGAAAGGCCAGGCCGGACATGATTCCATTGAAGACGCACGAGCCGTACTCGAACTTGTGAAGCAAAAGTGCGAAAAGGGTGAACAGTGGGGAACAGGCGATGCTTCTAACGAAAGCATATTCCGCCGACTTTCACGAGCCAGTGTCCCAGGGAGGGCCGCTAGTGGTGCGACAAAAGAGGGTCGAACAGGAGCTGTTGTTGACTGGGGCAATCCGGAACGAGGATTTGGATCTCAGGCGACAGTTACATTGGGTTGCAGAAACGATGACGAAGTGGTTGATGCTGTGAACCGCGCTATCAATGGGGATGAGGACGGTCGCGTGGTGCCGGGCGGTGGTGTAGACTTCACGTGGGCGCGCCTACGTGAACTGGAAGTCTTCCGCGGCTGGTGCAACCGCATTCCTGACCCGTCCAATGTAAACCAGTCTACTGCAATCCCAGTCACAAGTGCGGAAAGTGATAATTCCGAATCCGAGCGCCTCGCCTCTGCAGTCGCGAAAACAGTCTCGTGTATCCAACGAATCTTTGATTCCTTACCACCATGTACGCTGTTCATGGTGTACTCGGGCACAGGCGACCCACGGGAGGTTTCCCGTCTCCAGGAGCTACATAAGACCTACATGCAGGAATTTCGCAGCCAGAAGCCGTGGCATGAACTCAACGTGAAATGGACAGATACTGAGGAGCAAGCGCTGAAGAAGGCTTGCCAGAGGGCGAGGGAAGGATGTGGGTTCATGACTGTAAAGTAATCTGGCAATTTTGTTTGCTGTCTTTTTTCAAGACCTTCGTGTGTTATCCCGCTTTAATATCCTACTTTAAATAACATCTGGAATTCGCTTTTCCATGTGCATGTACATATACTCCGTATGTATAGTCGATTTCAAGGCTGGTGTGGGTAGGCAACTATTCATGATGCAGCGTATAAACTACACTAATAGGCTTCGGGGGGTTGGTAGATTTGGCTACCCTAAAATTATTTGACTAGTGGGTATGACAATTGAAGAACCATCAACTTTCTACCTTGACTAAGCTGTTTAATGTCTGTTACTGGATATAGACTTGTCAAATGCATATTTACTGACAGGGAAACAAAACTGAAGGCCCAAAATCGATCAGCGTTGGCTCCTCACCCCACCTCTTCCTCACTTCAACCTGCGGCCATTTCCAATGCTTCTTCTCTCTGCATGGCTAATTTTGCGAGAGAATCGCGGGCTGCGATTTGCGATTTACGTCTTCCACGAGTCGGGTGGTGAAGGCTTGTGGATTTTGCTGTTGTCTGTGTAGATTCTTCTTGCTCGTTGGCAATCGGGCGAGAATCCTTCTGATCAAGCGGTGGGTTATCACTGTCGGTTTGAGAGTTGGGGATCGTTTGCTCATGGGTCTGAATGTTTGGTGCAGGAGAGGACGGGCTTTCTTGTAGTTCACCACCCTGTAACTGTGCTACCGGTTCCTCCCCTGTGTGGACCTGATTGGGCTCAGTGCTGGAGGAATGCTGAGTATTTTCATTATCTGGAGGGGCAAGGGAAGAGCGTCTTGAGAGTCGCGCACTGGCTCTTCTTGCTCTGTTCACAGGTTGAGGATTGTCCAGGGTTCGGGACTCTACGGCTTGTCCGTTAATGGCCTCCGTAGGACCAGGCGGCTTTGTTGTGACCTGGGTATTAGTATCGGATTCTTTTAAAGGTATTTTTTTCGTCGAAGCCTTTGCGGATAAAGACCCTCTTCGCGGTCGTCCAGGAGGTTTCTTTCTGGTAGCATTCTCTTGACTTGGTTTGGCAGGGTCGACTTGGAAAGCTTGGTTTCGCTCGTGCGCTTGACGTTTGTTTGGGCTTGTGCGGGAATCCTTTGCATTGCTCTCTCTACAATTGACGTTACTAGATAATGCTCGATATTTTGGACCCTGCCACGGTTCAGCAAGTTCATCAGTGTCAGAATTCGAGCCTCCATGATGGGTTATATTTGAAACGAGGCAGATCGGCTGCGAGTTGTTATAAGGAGGTTGAGACGCCGTGTTCGCCGTCGAATTCCGTCCTTTTGAATTCCGTTGACCGCGCCCAGCATCAAACAGAGAAATTTCTTCTGGGAACGGGCGTTTCCCGTTGGAATTCAAGTTTAAGGGGTGATCTCTTTGATTCAAGACTAGAGCCCCGCCATCTATATTCGGAGACGCGACAAAAGGACGGTTATTAAGACCAGAGGTTGGCTCAACCCGAGTTAACAACATATTTTCTAACTGGCTGCATTTAAACCTTAGAGAATGATTTTCTTGTTTAAGCGCTTCTATTTCAATCCCTTTCGCTCTAACTTCCCGCAACGCCGTGGCGATTAGTTCGTAGCCATCATGTAATGGTGCTTGTGGTGTGTGATTTCGGGACGAGATTGTAGTTTTTAGGCACTGAATCTCATCCCGTAGAGAGCTGATTGTATGCTTCCATTCGTTGATCATGACGTGCATTTCGTCCGAGGTAGCTCTTGCAGACGGGGTGTTTAGGTGCCTTTCGTTGTCTTTACTGCCGGATTGACCACCTGTTTGTTGCTGATAAGTGCGTTTTTCACAGTTATTTGGATCCGCGGCCTCCAAAGACGATTGTTTCGTAACCGCATCTAGGCGTGAAGGGACTAGCTCTCTAGTAGTGAGATCCCGTAGGAGGATTGAATGCGAGGACCAAAAGAGGTTGAACTGACTTGAGGGGTTTAATATATATCTTCGGATAAAGCTTCGCGATTGTGTCAACTCACGGATATCCATCTTTAAACATTTCCTTCTGAACCCCTTGCCCAACAGTTTCCAGACAGTTTTTGCAAATGGTTGACTGATATTGTCCATCCTCGGTTGGGTGCGGCTCAGAACGCGGATTGGAAAGGATGTTATTGTCAAATAGGCAGATCGACCCGGGTGTGAATAAGTAGGAATCGCAGCTAGTCCATGAGTTCGGAGCGATTGCTAACAGGGCGTCGCATCTACGGCAATGACAGGTTACAGTTCTGGAAGCCTCCCAAGGGACTAGGAGAGAGGCCGCTGAGGAGATGATGGGGTTGGCAGCCATCAAGTCGAGCAAGAAAACAACGCAGCTATGTTCCTAAATGGCTTTGATAATATTTGAATATTTAGCCGCTCATCCATGCTCCTTCATATGACCGGTAGCATTAGATTCTTGGGCATGAACTCAGTTAAGGCTGCTTGCTGGTAAAAGATTGTGAAGGTTTGGTAAAGTAGATGCAACTTGCTGCTGACTAACACACACACATTACACTGGGATAAGTTACTCCGGTTTCCGGTAGTTAACTAGTTAAGTTAGTTAGCTAGTTATTTTCGTCAAGGCCTCCCTAATATTTTAGTGGCATGTTAATCATCATTCCGGGTGGGCGCATTCTCAAACATCCCCATACAAATAGGAGGGACAGCTTCTCATTCTTATTCCCTCCCTCTCTGTACAGAGTACATCAAACCTGTGGAAATAACTTTTTTGGTCTTGTTCCATGAGTAAGTCGTAAACCCTAGCTGGGTCCAGAGATGTACCTGTTCTGTCAAATATTTGGTGAGATTCCTTATTTTCCACCTAGCGGGGGCAGCAGGGGGTGGGTTGGGCGGTGGCCATGTTGGAGACAACGATTTTCACGTAGCAAGCAAAACAAGATCTGGAGCAATGGAATGATGGGAATTGAATATGTACAAGCGATTTGAACCTGTCAAGCTAGGGGAAAGAGGTATTTATATATAGCCATACATACTAACGCGATTCTATCCGTACAAACAAATCGATCCGAACGTAAAGAGGCCGGACAAACCCTGAAGTATATCATAAAGAGTTAACCTTTTGGATCATTCCGTACGATACGGTAGCAACCGCAGAATACTTACTTGCCATAGCTGGTCAGCGGTGCGTATGGGTTGAGTTACTTCAATGCGCAGGCAAACTCCGCAATAGCCCAACAGTCAAAAAGAAAAATGCAAGAAAAATGACATCAAAGTACACCAATGGCAAGCAAAGAAAAGAACAGTTAATACCAGCGCGAATCGACTAATCTCCCTCAGATATCGCCAATGTAAAACGACAATTGTTCAAGCAAGACAAGATATCAACCCATGTAAAGGCTTTTTTTCCCCTTCTGCTGTGCGACATTGAGCCATTCAGGCACTGCCAGGATTTCCTCAATCAGGACCAAGTGTCTATCAGGGTTGGCTTGGTAATTGCCATGGGTTTCCTCGGGGAAGCTGCATTGTATGTACCGAGACAGTCATGCACGGTACGTGAGCTCGCGTGAAGATTGTGTATTATGAAGATGTGTAACATGGGGCTCGACCTTTGTCACGGTAGGTCCCTGGTTGAGCTTCCAACTGCAGAGGTAAACGGGCGTGCATTCACTTCCCATGTCATTAATAAAGCTCTCTTGCCGTGCCCAGAAAACGTGTATCTGCGTTGTTTGTGTAGAGCGGAAGACCGAACCAGTCCACGGATTCTCTTTATCGCGGTAGCAAGTAGCAACGACTAAAAGCTTTCTTCCTCGTTTATAACTGTCCGTCCAGAACTCTCCAGCTGCTGAAAACTCACTCAGATTCGTGTGTCAGCAATGGGTAAAAAACGAGGAATAAATTGTCACTTGGGAATGGAAGAGGGTAATCCCGAAAATTATCGAATGCTGTTTTCCCATAATTTTTCGAGTGGCTTTGGGCGTCTCATTCAAGATCACGAAGTGGCCTCAAATTTCTGAAGACAATCACATACGCTCTGAGTGCTGGCAAAAATTCCCTTCACGACAAGAATATAGAACATAATTGATAATTGAAGCAATACAAAATGGGTTTTCTGCTCATATTCTTCCCAATCAACACCCGATGGGGTGGGAGGTAGAGAACGTGGTCATGACTTTGGTCGATGGTGCCGCATGTCTGTGTGCGGAAGCCTTTCCCGTCTGGTTGTGAATTCCTTCCTGAAACATGTGCTGAAACACATGCCCATAACGCGCCCAACTGTTTGGATCACCTCTAATATGAAACGTTGGTAACGTTTGACGATCCTGGCGTCTGCCACATGGGGACACGGTGCCTGAAACCAGTCACGCTCCTCCTATCTGACTCATGAACTGAGAGGAGGGGTTCAATAGGCGGCAGATCCTTTTGTCGTCACACGGTGCCTAGGAAAATCAGGCAAGAGGGTAGTTGAATACATGGTACGGAGTAGTTAAGCTATAATAGTGCTGTGCATCAACGATATGACTCTTTAACCCTGCACGTTTAAGCTTCTGGTGAAGGTTGAGGGTTCCTGGGTGTGGTGGTTCGGCAACGGGATCCCGGGGGCGGGGGCCGAGAGGCTCTGCCCCCGGCCCCGCATTTGGCAAAAGCGTCGGGTTTTAACTCCAGGGACGACTCGGGCCGGGAACCTTCTGCCTAAGCAAGCACCTGACGCCTGGGGCAGCCTAGGATTATCCTTACGCCGACATTCCGAGAGACTTCGCCGCAACCACGATATCTCGCCATCGAGCTTCACAATTATCCTCGTTTGCTAGCCTCACCCCAAGATAGATTGCCCACGGGTTCGGCTCTCCCGCAATTAATCCGCGGCTGCCGCGTTAACCTTCTTGTTGGACTTGCTTAACTCTCTAGAGAACCACAATTTTTGTGTGAACTCTCAAGTTTCTAGTAAGGAGAAGCTCCTCCAGTCCATGGGTACGGTACGGGTAAGTCAAGGCCTAGCCATTGTGCTCCCAAAACATATTTACTTTGTATTATTTTGAGCCAGGTGCATTGTTGACTGATGGAAATCATGTGTTATTGATTAGGTTAATTGCCGCTATTTCTGTTTGAGCCACTCAAGTGTTCCCCTCGCAGCAGCGATTGCCCAGTCCTGTCGGCTAGCAGACGTAGCTAATAAGGCGCCCCGTGCAAGATATATGAGATTTCTGGGTCATTGGGATAACTGGTTGTTGGCTGGTGTTGCCTAGCTCTTCAAAACCTCTAATAATTGTCCAGGCAGAAGCGATTACCTGCCCGGAAAGTCAGGCACCTTGGCAGAAGGTCTCTTGGCTACTACATCTTCCGGACTCTCACATTGATCTCGACGTTGTCGCCAGGCGAGCGGCTACTGATACTCATTGGTTTGAAAGTTCCGCGTGGTGTGACTCGTCTCTTAGCGCAAAGGAAGACCGCTGGAACCACATTTCTCGCTGCCTTATCCTTGCCTGTCAAGAATTTATCCTGTCGTTGGCCAGCTGAGGAAATTCCTCTGCCGCTTGCAGAGCAACGGTAAGCTTGCGAACCTTTCGTCCTAGGGCACAAAAATTCGGGGAGGCTGTTTTCGGTGCTTGTATGGCATTTCAGAGTCTTTGTTGGCAGGGTGACGTTGCAGGAAAATCTCAATTATAAATATTCCTTCCTTTTGTCCGTTGCTAAGCAACAGGCAACGAACCCCTTTCGTTTTCAAAAGACCAACTTTACTTTCCACGCGATATTTTGGATTCAATTTCCATCGCCTTCGAAAACTGACTGACGGCTTGTAATGCAGACCCTCACTGCGCCTTGCGACTGGGGTTGGAACCCCTTGTGACAATTCTCATCCGACGCTAAAACAGAGCATCTTTAAGTATCCTACGGGACTCATCCTCTCACCGACGTACAACTTTCTTTCAGAGAGGGTAATCCATATTTTCTGATACCTTCGCAAAGGCAGCGCCACGAGGGCGGATGCATGGTCTTCAGCCTGCTTGACGGTTTTGATGAATCACACACATACAAGTCCCATTTCTTGTATTTACCTGGGGCCATCTCCATCCATTTTCGATCAGTTTTAAAACCCATCAGCTCTACAACACACTCACTTCCCCTTCACTTCCCGGCTGCAGAACTATCTTCCGCATTCCCTAAACCCCGTTCACAATGGATGAAGCAACGCAGCTTTCAACGCAACCATATGCCGACCCTCGGCGGATAGGGCTCAACAACTCCGGGCTTGATGAAGAGGATGTTCCCGACATCATCTGTGTTTTACATCCGAACTCCATGGCAGCCCACAATGCTGTATCTGCGACTGCGCGTTTTGGCCCACAGCATATCTTACAAAGGGACAATCTTGAAAACGACACCGGACTTCCCAACAGCTCTCCCGGGGACATCGCGTTGAGGCTTTCATCCTCTGTAAAAGACGTGAGTATGGGCTTTTGTTTCGGTCGTAATCCTAATCGCTGCGATATAGTCCTCGCTCGGGATGATAGCGAAAAGAAGATATCAAATGTGCACTTTCGGATCTATCTAACGCGCGACAATATCTTGATGCTACAAGACACTTCAACCAATGGGACCCTTGTAGATGACAAAGTTGTTCGGAAAGATAATAAGTATGGTGCTTCCTCCACACAAATGCTCGTCCCCGGCTCTATCATTCACGTGGCGAATGATTCGACCACTGGCATCAAGTTCATAGTCCGTATTCCTCCTCGGGATGGCTTTGAGCGTGAGTACACACAGAATGTGATTCACTACATGAACCGAGTACAAAACGCATCCAAAAAATATGGAGATGGTGGAGCAAAGCCTGGAAAGGCGGCACAACGTAATGGTTATCTTATTGTCCCTCAGCAAGGCGGCAATACTCATGGGATGCACTGGAATGGCGGTTCCAAGTATAATGTCACGGGACAGGTTGGTAAAGGCGCATTCGCCACGGTTTACAAACTCGCAACGAAAAACGACGGCATGGTCTACGCTTGCAAGGAGCTCGACAAACGGCGCCTTATGAAGAATAATATTTCAGACCACAAAGTTAACAATGAGATGTTGATCATGAGCGGATTACGACATGTAAGGCCCCTTTCTTGGTAAACATATCTTTACCCTATGGAGACTAATCCTAGGTAGCCGAATATTGTCGAATTCAGAGACTATCATGATCACGATAACCGTTGGATCTATATCATCATGGAGTATGTCCCCGGTGGCGAATTATCCGCCTATCTTAATCAATGTCATCACCTCGCGGAGGAGCAGGTAAAAACAATCTCTCGACAAATCTTACATGCCCTCCAATACCTTCACAGACGGAAGATAACACATCGTGACATCAAACCGGATAACATTTTAATCCAGTCATTTGATCCCTTACATGTTAAGCTTTCAGATTTTGGCCTCTCCAAGGTCGCCCAGGAAGAATCCTTCATGAAGACGTTTTGTGGAACGCTCTTATATTGTGCCCCTGAAGTTTATCCAGAGTACGACAACTATAGGCGGGGCGAGGCAAGGAAAAGGCGACGTGCTGCTGATTCGTGAGTAACTTCGTGTCATTTCACATCGGGCATTGTGCGTACTAACTATGTGTTTCTAGGGTCCCTAGAACATCGCCGTACGATCAATCGGTCGATATGTGGTCTTTTGGTGCAGTGTTATTTCATATCCTCTGTGGAACTGCGCCCTACGCTGGCCGAGGAGATGATAGGGGTGCAACTATGCTGCGCAATATAATGACAACCGATGCAGATTATGACTTGCTTCGAAAAGCTGGAGTATCGGACAGTGGTATTAATTTTGTTTCGAAGCTTCTTAATCGCGATCCGAGAGCTAGACCCAAGGAGCCCGAGTGCTTCCAACACCCGTGGATCGTTAACGTTCCAGACGAACTTGATTACACAGAGTTCGACGGTCCCAAAGTTCAGGATATCGACACAACTTTAGCTGCCGTAGGTGAGGCTAATGAAGATGAAGAAGCAGATAGGCTTGACGCCTCTCGCCTTCATCTTAATGATAAAGTTGATGAAGATTTAAATGAAGAAATTGAAGATCAGGAGCATGGGGTTGAGGACGAAACACCCACTGACCACAAGGACGTCAAAAGACAGCGACTTTCTCACTATCCTGAAGATGCAAGCCAGCACGTTGTAATGGCCCAAGTTCCAGCTATAATCAAATATCCTTCGTTGCCAGACCTTGGTAGCTATGATCTAGGCTCTGGTCTCGGTGGCCAAGGAACTCAGCCGCCCATGCCACGTCTTTTTGGGGAGATATCCGGGCCTGCTCTGAGGAGTTCCGCCGCATTTGAAGGAAACGCAAACCGACCAGCAGCAATGTTTGACTTCCAGCCTCGTTTCCAAGATGAGGATGTTTATGATGACCCTTCCTCAGAGATGGAGTCGTCTCTAAGTTTCAGCAGTATTGATAATCCAGCAGAGCTACAACATCAACAACTGCCTATCGGGTTGGAGCGGGGTGCTTCTGCCCCAAGTTTAATGGGAGCGGAATCACTAGTGGGTCAGTTGCACATGGAATCTCCTGATGTCAGAACACCAATCTCCACAGCCCATAATAGTAATAATCCAACCACCCCGGAATCTTCCGTGGGCAATGCACCCTCGTCCCAAGCCCGGGAATCAAAATCTGGCGGCCACGACGAGGCTAAGAAAAGGAGTTCAAGCCAAAAACCTGGTGGGCTCGACTCTACCGACCAAGCACATCGAAGATCAGTCGGCCAGGAATCCATCCCTACCCCGAAAGTTACGCCCAGAAATCTCACCAATCCATGTTGTCTTGTGCGTGAACAAACATCTAAATCGTTCGACCCGAAACACCTGCTCGAGCTCGCCACCACTATCGACGAGCACACTGGAGAGGAAGTCGCACAGGTCGATGGTTCGAATACCCCTGAAGAGCCGAGCGAGGCGAACGAGACGAATACGCGGTTCGCCTCCAGGATCACGAGTCCTGCAAACTCCCCGAGACTCACCCCTCCCTTCGGAGCGCTCATATCACTTCCCGGTTCAATCACAGATGTATCACTCCACCTCGAATCACGCATGACATCATGGGGCCGAGGACCAAGAGTCAATGTTCGTTACTCTGATCCTATGGATAGCCGAATCCCGGCCTACGCCCTCGAACTCACTTTCTGGGCACCGTCGATCGAATCCCGCATCGCAGCCGGTGAAGACTGGCGAAAGGTTCCTGGTGTCATGGCCATCCTCTCTACCAAGGCGAGCAATTGCATTTGGGTTAATGACGTGGAGCTACGCAAGGAGACGCCGGCGAAGGATGCGCGTCTCTTCGGAAAACTGTACACAGGCGATATAATCACGGTATTTAGGGATCGTGAGCGCTATCTGCGCTTTCGATGCGAGTTTTATCACGGGGAAAGCATGAAGCTGCGGCCGCTTGAGGAAAAAGGGTTTCTTATTCAAAAGGCGAAGTATCCGAAAAGTGGGAGCAAGGGAGACGGGAGTTTGAAAACTGAGCAGGCTGCTGGCAACACCACAACGACGGCGCCCACCATCGCTCCAGAGACGGACGGGGAGAAGAGTGTTGATTGGAAAGACAATAAGAAGGATAAGAAGAAATAGTTGCTTGATATCTCCTTTTTTTGTATTTTCCCTTTTCTTTTCAGGTCTGTTTGATATGGTCGATCCGCAAGCGATGAGATTTTGTTTAACTTCCCTTGAAACAGGGCCCGTATGCCTCAGTTAGTTGTATCCGACACAGCTTCCTGATTTATGCTCTCATACGCTGTCATTTTGTCCTTTATTTACATACTATTTAAACTAGTCCGGTTGCCGCACTCATACCCTCCTTGACTGCATCTTCTTTTTGTTCACGCGCTCTGACCGGGATAGTGAAAGGAGATGATATTGTGAATGAAACAAAGCATCTACATAGATAGTACGGCAATGTACACGCAAATTGTCATGAAACTCAGTAAATATTGTCACCGCTTTTCCAGGAGTAGTTGTGGCTAGAAATTCTTCCATTGGTAATTTTCATTCTTCTGGCAGCAAAACGGCCAAGGATCGGGTTCAACCCCTGAAATTAGCGCCGAATAAACTTCTGTTTCTCCTCCCTTTGTTCGATATCTAACGCCCCCATGAGGCGACACGGAGGATTCCCGAGGTCTGCGCTAGGCTTACCTAGACATCGTGCAATTTTTGCAAAGGGGAAGATGGGTGGTAATTCAGGAATCAAATAATAAATACCACGGCTGCACTCTGCCGATCCAGCCAGTTGATCGCAGAACGATGATAGTTCCGTCAAGATGAGAATACCAATCCCAGTGTCTGTTCTTCAGACAATACCTCTATCAGTGCTGCTGGGCCTGACATCTCTCCTGCCCTACACGTCGGCCCAATGGTTGTATCCGCCAAACATTCCAGAAGGCAAATCGCTCTCGGATTACACATCGGGTGCAGACCCAATAATCAGCGACTATTACGAGTATGATATCATCGTGGGCGGGTTCCGAACGCCCAAACCCAGCTTCACGATCTCCCGGTGCGCCAAAAAGGGACGAACGGAGCCCATCTACCCGTCAACCGTCACGTTCAATTCCTCCGACGGACATCTCGCTGCTGATGGCACCTGGCAGTATATGGATTCTCATAGCAATGGCCCATGGTCAAACGAATACCCAGCAGGCAAGCACCCATGGATCACCCCCGTGTGGCATTTAGTTGGCAACGAGACGACAGGGACTATATGTTGGTGGGAGTTGTATAGTGTCAGTGAGGAAAAAATACACTGCCATCCGACACAGGGGCGGGATTGCGAATCGCCGTATACGCGGGCTGTGACAGTGCTGGGGAATGATACGGAGAATTACTTCGCAACGGTACCGTTTACCGTGCACGCGGGGTTGAGGGAAGGGGGCAGGAATTATACATGGAATAGTGGGGACCATACGGCGTCCAGAACAACATTGGTTTTCTCAAATATGCCGACAGGGAACACGGCGGTGGGGTTGCGGGCTGCATTTTCATATACGGGAGCGGGAGTCGAGGGCGGTGGGTTGTTGTTAATGGCTTTGATGGCATTCCTGGGTGTTATTGGGAAATTGCTTCTATAGACCTGAGCAGTCCAGACTGTTCAGAGAATTCTATTTTGTTCTTATGGGACGACGGGTTTATTTTCTTGTCTGCGCATGATACCAAACGCTGGTAGCTTGCATCAACCCATAACGATGCATCTATCCGCCGGGCTTTGTGTATAATGTACGTGTACATGTATGTATGTACAATGTACATACCTTTACATACATGTACATTGCCGGTGTCGATATGAATGTATAGGTGATGATCATTTATAGCTCTCAGACATCTCTATTATATATAGACACGGTTTTAACATATTTCGTCTTTTCCCATAGATCGAATTTTCTCGATTTTCTAACCCCATCTAAACAGCCCTTTCGAATAACCAGCGTGGGCCGCTCCGATGAAGACCAACAGTATATCTCTCAAAGCGGCATACGCCATACCACTACCACCGCCACCACGTAAGTTCCCAATCCTCTGCACAGCTCCTCCGTCTAACACTCTAATAGGTCCCCATTTCCCAGATGGCGCGGTAGTGGAAGAAGTTATACAAACAGTCAATCATGGTAGCCAGATTCGCAGATTCACAGTCGTCCCGGCGAGTCCGATTGGGCATACTATTTCGCAGTTACCCCGTCTGCGGCGGATAATATGGCGGCGAAGAAAGCATAACCACGAGTACAACGTGCGCCGAATATACAGGCCATCCCAGCGCGAAGCGGTTCTTATCCAGACACGGGGCCAAAGTGTGTACTCCTGCGAGGACATGTGCACCAGGTGCCAATCGGGATGTGGGCCGTTCACAACATGTGTAGTCGCCAAGGTGAGCGGAGAGGAATCTCCCAGATCAGGAGCCTGCGCAAATTGCGTCTGGCGTAGTTTTCCCAGAGAATGCTCCCACCGCCAAGCTATGAATGGAGATACTGAAGGTGGGCGAATCCTTCCTATCCATGTCCCATCCATACTTTTTGTGTTTTTGCTTTATCTTCGATCTGAAATCCTGTTACCTTTTGCTCCCCTTTCGTTGAATGCATATTGACGTGCCAATCAAAGGAACCGATGAGGAATGGCAATATGTAAGCGGCGACGATGACGAAGAGGACGACGAAGGAGAAGAAGAAGAACCCTTTCTACCTAGGCCGTCGCGGTCGTCGCGTTCACGAGGCATAACCTCAAGAACAAGGTCATCCAAGCGAGATTTGAAAAGGAACAGCCGCACCACAAGAGGCGAAACACCCAAGCCGAAACTGTTGACGACGCCGAGAGCAAAAATACTACCCTGTCCTGCGGTCGTTATTCCATCTCCGTCGAAGAGAAATACCGCCACCCCAGCAGGGCAGAAGTACTTCAAAATCCCTCCGGGCTTGTCGCCAAACACAGCAGAAGATATCCACCGTGCCATTGACGAGCTGAATGTAGTCCGTGCAAAGCTATTCTCCCGCCTTGAACTGCTAGAGGCTGTGCAGGCGGTCGACTGGGAGTAGGACCGCGGGCTGACCTTGGTGGTATTCCTTTTCGTTAAACTCTCGAATCCGAAATCCGTATATAGAAGGGGGGGGGGGCATGTTAGACAAGTTAGACAAGAGAGCGAGTTGCTAGCCTAGCAGGAGATTAAATTCCAACGTGCTTCAGAATTTACCGTACTTTAATTTGAAATCTCTCGCGAGCACAACCAGCCGAATCATACTGCATATAGGAAATGGCAGTTTTGTCTCCAAAATGTCTTACAGATGGGTGTAAAGTAACTCTCTGATATAAAATGAGTGCATGCCAGTCGTGTGGTTAGGGTGAGGTACGACACGGCAATTGGAGATGTTCCATTCTTATTGATATCTTGCTGCCCCATGTCCCATGAAGATTCCCTTGAGCAATCAATCTCTAGATAAAACCACAGGGTAGAATCCCGATCTCTTCCTACAGCCAAGTAAAATGCGCTGGCATGTTAAAGACAGCATTTTTTTCCCCCGTAGATGCCGAGCTTACGGTCATTCGCTTGCTACACAGATACAAGGAGAACTGAACAGCTCCTTTAGCACCCGAAATCAACTGGACACCACCGGCATTTAACGAACTCGGGGATGCTCTCTTCTCGAAGTTCCCTAAGATCCAGTTCCATATATCTGGATGTGCCTTACGGGAAGGGTAATGAGTTGACTGCGGGGAAAAAGGGGTTCGTTCGTTGAGTTGAGCTGCGGAAAATACTTCTTTACTTGCTGGAATTCCCAGAAACGGTATGGTATTCTAATAGCTAACTACATAAATCAGACACCGGCGGGCAATTACAAACAGGACGTCTCTGTTGGTTGAAGGACAATGATGAGTATCCGTCGTATGTTTGAAATTTCGGGATTGATAAACATACTAACGTATGTAATAGAACAGTGCAAAAGCTTAATTCCACATAATACTCATTATTATATGGATACACACCAATTACACTAAGTCCTAATGTAATTAGTTATTATAAGCTTCACCCCACAGATCTCTCAGGTGTATCCCCGGCCCGGGCCTACACAGTAGAGCCCCGGGTAAAGGGACCCCCCCAGGTATAGAGACCCCCCCAAGGGTATAGAGACCCCGGGTAAAGAGACCCCCCCAGGGTATAGAGACTCCGGGTTATACAGCGTAGAGAACCCCTGAGAATAGAGGGGATGGAGCCCTCCCATGATGTGGGGGTCACTATTTCATACAATCTCCAATGAGGAGGAGATCTTGATGACTTTGTTGCAGCACAATCTCAACATCAACAGGACTAACCAACTATGTAACTAGTAGTTAGTTAGTGACTCGCTGAGTAACTAGTTAAGTACGGACGGTACGGAGCAAATGTTACAGATTATTAGACATGGCAAGGGATTAGTGAGGGCCGCGTGGAGCGGTATGATAACTACGGTAGAGAAATGAAATAATAATAATAATAATGAGGGAAGACGGGACAACAGGACACATATACAGGTAACTATGGTATGATAATATGAGCACGGAGTAAGTACTGTACATGTGTGGGTGGTGGATGTGCAGTATATATATATATAAAATAAAAAGGGAATTATATAATATCTTGAAGGAAGAGAAGCATCTAAATATCTAATGAAGAGAATAAAATAACTGAAGAGATCTCTGAAGATTGATTTTGTTTTGTTTGTGTTTTTTTTGCTGTTTTTGTGATTGTTTTTCTTTTTTTTCTTTTTTGGCTGTCGAATCAACACCTCAACTTCTTCTCCCTTCTCTTCTTCTTCTTCCCTCTCTCTCCATTCTCCACTCTCCATTCTCTCTCTCTTCTCTCCTATCTCCTGCTGCTATATAATCCGTATATCCCATCCCGCCGACCAATCGGGCCCTGCGATGTGTCTCACCACCCGCCCTCCTCCACCCACCCGCCGCCCATCTAGCTCATCCTCGTCGTCTCCTGTCTCGCCCTTAGCTTCTGGGCACAATCGCCCCCAATCGCCTCAATCGCCTCAATCGCCTCAACCGCCTCAATCAATCCAGGATTGATATTTCAAACTTCAGACAAATCTCAGTCGCTACAGATTCTCCCTTGGCCGCCATTGCTACCATCGATCACCAGACTTCTTCCCCTTCCTCTCTCACTTATACCAAGTATCCTTTTACTCACCTCTCGCCTCCTGAACTCCTCTTCCGCTGTGCCTTTTTTCTCCCTTCGGCCCGCTAAAACTCTTATCCCTCCTATTCCTGTTTTTGTCAATCAAGAGACTTCGAACCCACCAAAGAAAAACTCGCAAGATATTCAAAGTATAGCTCCTTCGCCGCAAACATAGTCATGCACATACACTATACATAATCTATTAATAAGATATATACGCATACATACGGACCTGCATACACACAAAGACGCAACAGGAGATTCTGTGGAAGCGCGGCCACCGAGGCGGGCAATAAAGACACATACACACACACATATATATATTCTTACATACATCTCCCTGTTCGTGGGTTGAAAGGGAGAGAATTCCGCCCTCTCCCATTCTTCCTGCTCCCCCGTATTCGCCCTTCATCCTGGCTTCAAAATCTTCGAGGGATAGCCGCTCTCCCGGTCCGCACCACCGAAGACGCTCCTCTGTCCGCATCACCTCCTCCGTAAAACACCTCCAATCCTCCTCCAAGCGGGCTCAGGCGGCAGCATCAGCAGTAGCAACAGCAGCAACCACCTCCTCCCTTTCGCCTAGCTCAGGCTCCCTCCCCTCCATCGCCTCCCTCCCGTCAGGCACCCCTCCATATCCGGGCCAGTCGTCCATGTCCCTCTCGAGATCACCCTCCCCCCGTCGTGGCGGAGGATGGTCCAGCCCCGGCTTAACCATCGGCGCCGGCAGTTCTAGAGGCTCCAGTCCGCGAAGGGGATTCAACGACATAGCAAACAGTAGCACAAGCAGCGGGAATGGGGCTTTCTATCCAAACGGTTCACCAATCGCTGGCTCGGGTCCTGGCAACGGTGCGGTGACCTGGGCTTCCGCAAAGGCGAAAAGTGACCGCATAGTCGGCTACCCTTCCTTTTCCACGCGAAACAATGGCTTCTTTTCGAGACAGCGACGGAAAATCTCCGCAAGCCTACCGCGCTTCCGTGTTAATTCCATGCTGGATTACAGTGAGAAGGAAAAGCTGGGTCGCGGGCGATGGCTGCCACGAGGGCTAGGCGACATGCCCATGCGCGCTCGTATCAAAACTCTTCTAGGCAGCTTGATTCGGCGGAAAAGGTTCAGATACTTGCTCCTCCTGCTACTAACTTTTCTCTTTTGGCTGTTCTTCTCAACTCGTGAGTAACCCTCGTGGTTTAAATTTTTTTAAATTTTTTTCCCCCATATATATAGCTCGTATATGTTAAATAAAAAAAAAGGAAAACCCCCCACTAACATTTGACAGGCATTATACAATCATACCGCGCATCCTCGATAGGTGGGGGTAAGAAAATCGTGATGCTCGTGGGCTCGAATATCGGCGGAGGAGTCATGGAATGGAAAGGCGCTCGTGAATGGGCAATTGAACGGGATAGTTTGAAAAACAAGAGGAAATACGTCCAGCGCTGGGGCTACGAACTGGAAATCGTCAATATGGTTACGAAGAAACGATACGCACACGAATGGCGCGAAGGGTGGGAAAAAGTCGATGCGATCCGCCAGGCTTTACAACGATATCCCGATGCAGAGTGGTACGTACATGTTCAATACAGAATATTATATGGCCAACAAAAAAAAAAAAAAAAAAAAAAAAAAAAGCCAAAACTAACAAATACATCCCTCCATCCAGGTTCTGGTGGCTAGACCTCCACACCTACATCATGGAACCGACCTACTCCCTCCAATCGCACGTCCTCAACCACCTCGAATCCAAAGCCTACCGTGACATCAACGTCTTCAACCCGCTCAACATCACCCACCCCCCCACCGCGCCCTACCTCGATCCCATCTCCCTCTCCCGGACGGGCGACGACAAAACCTCCTCCATAAACATGATCCTCACCCAGGACTGCTCCGGCTTCAACCTGGGCTCCTTTGTCCTCCGACGCAGCACCTGGACCGAGCGCCTGCTGGACATGTGGTGGGACCCCGTGCTGTACGAGCAGAAGCACATGGCCTGGGAGCACAAGGAGCAGGACAGCCTAGAACACTTGTACATCAACCACCCGTGGGTGCGGCCGCACGTCGCCTTTATGCCGCAGCGGCGCATGAACTCATTCCCGCCGGGCGCGTGCGGGGATGGCACGGACAGGCGCTTCCACTACCTGCGCAAGGAGAGGGATTTCATCGTCAACATGGCCGGCTGCCAGTGGGGACGGGACTGCTGGGGAGAGATGTATTATTATCGCCAGCTGGGGTACTTCCTGAATCGGACGTGGTGGGAGCGGTTTAAGGAAGGCTTGGCGGACATCTTTTTCAAAATGATTGGGAGGCCGCTGAAGAGGCAGTTCACATAAATTTACCTGTTTTTATCTTTTATGTTTCTTATTTTCTATCTTTTTTTTGTTTTCTCATTCTGTTTATCGATTATCCTGGTGATATTCCTTTGGATTTTTCTTGTTATTTTTCTTTCTTTTCTTTTCTTTTTTCTTTTTTCTTTTTTTTTTTTTTTTTTAAATATATATAAATTTCTTCACCTTTTCTTGTTCTTTCTTCATTTCTCTCTTTTCGTCTGATCAGGATAGGATACACTTTCTTGCTTTCTGCTTTCAACTTGTGCCATGATTTTTAATGTTCTCTTCTCCCTTCAAAACTTCAAAACTCTACATTGCATGAGAGCGCCTCTCTCTCTCTCTCTCTCTCTCTCTCTTTTTTTTTTTTTTTTTTTTTTTTTTTTTTTTTTTTTTTTTTTTTTTTTTTTTTTTTTTTTTTTTTTTTTGTCATTATTTGTAATTTCCCACTTTCCTTATCCATCCCCTTTTATTTCCCCATATTCTTTTATTTTTCTTGTATTGTACATTACATGAACATGTACAATTGCGCCGGTTGTTTCTTTATTCTTCCGGCTTCCCTTCGCATCCCTGCACTAAGCCTGCTCTACGGAGTAGACATGCATGTATTCTAGCGACCTGGACATTTACATTTCATGCATTATGTTTTCTACTGTCATCCCAAAATATTTTATTTTTATTTTATTTTCATTTCTTCATTTTGTTACATATACCTCCTTGTTGAACTGGCTGACATCTCTGCATGGTGGATGTTGATATGTGTGCTTCCATATATTATGGTCATACACATACCATACATGGATATAAACACAGATAAAATATAGCAATTCAGACTGTATATTTTGAAACTGTTACTTCAGCTTCTAATTTCAATAAACAACAGCAGATTCATGCTGTATTCTTTGCCGTATCGCCATAGCTCTCTCACAAACATGGAAAGTTCATAGATCACGTGATCACTCTCATTCTGCCGCTCATCCAATAAGCAGCAACATCCAAACCTCACATTAGGCAATTGAATACCCCAATTCAATATCAGCACGCTCCAACCAGACCAATTGCTTTCCATTTACCTACCCCAGACCCATAGTCACCCGGAGAACAACAGACACCAGAGGAGCAACAACAAACATGCCCACCCCGGAATCCGCCGCCTTCCTCGCCAAAAAGCCCACCGTAGCCCCCAGCTACGACGGCGTCGACTTCGAGGACACCGCCGCGCTACACAATGTGCGTGACGCCATCATCCGCGAGCAATGGGTGCGCAGCATGATGGCGCGGCTGGTCGGTGAGGAGCTGGGGAAATGCTACAGACGGGAAGGGGTTAATCATTTCGAGAAGTGTGGGGTGTTAAGAGGTGGGTGGTTTCTCTCCTATGTGTTTCCGTGCTTTATATAATTTTATTTTTATGTTTGATTTCCCTTGGGGGGATTATATTGTGTGTTTGGTGCTAATTTCTAAACCGTGCGGTGCGGTATGGTGCGGTGGTAGATCGGTATTTCGAACTGTTGAAGGAAGCGAAGATCAAGGGATATTTGTTCCAGGAGAAGAATTACGTTTCGAAACCGGCGTCGTCGTGAGAGTGTGTTTGGGTGTGGGGGATGTAAAGTTGCTGCCGGCGGAGTCGAGGCCGGAGAGTGAGAGCGGTAATATGAGCTGCGGGGAGCAACGATGTGTGCGACGGCGGTGTGGTGGAAGCTTGAGCGTTGGCCAAATGGACGGAAGCCGGATTCTATCAGACGACGGATGATTACCTGCCTTGCACGCGAATTGGAAATGACAAGCGGTGGTGGGATCGGATTACATGGGATACAGGCACTGTCCTGGCCTCATTTGTTTCGTTGGACCAGGAGCACCTCGGTCTTGAGCGGAGGTATCACTTCGTGCCCCAATGGCGCCCTGCGCTCGAAACTCCTCTCACCTGGGTATCGGTCCTCAATTGCGACTTTTCGACCTTCTTCTAGCCGGGTCTTATACAAAATTTCGTTGCGCGCAGTTAGTTACCTCTGGTGGCGTTGCTTTCCCAGCAGCCCTAGATTATCTTTGCTCTCCCCTGTCGATGCCAGTTCGGATGAGCAGAGATATGTGCTGATAAACATGAAAAAGAAAATATCTGTGTACTGTATATATAATAGATTTAAAAGGGAAAAAAACGTTAAAACTTATATAGAAGTCATTATTATCATGTCATCTTCAATTAAGTCATAAACATTCCTCTCCACTTAGAAAAGATATAGAGACTACATATAAGTGAGTCCATCAGCCAAATGGCTTACAGCAAACCCCGACAGAGTATATACTAGAAATATCCCCTCTCAGACACTTCCCTGTCATCAACTTCTTCATCGCTGCTACACGCCACATCGAAGGACTCATTGGTTTCTGGTGGCGCACGCATGCCTACTAGTTGTTCCGCATCGAGTTGCGGCGGGCTATATGCTGCAGGAGTGGAGTGGATGTCTCTACCTGAGGGTAGGTTTGCTAGGTACGATGATGACGAGGGGATGAGCTGGGTATTTATCTGTATCCGGCCGGTTAGCAGTTCGCAACAAATTTCTCTCTCCCCCAGGTGCTAGTATAGACATACCGTATCATTTATCTTCACCCACTTCGCCTCAAGCATATCCAGCACCCTCCCTTCCTCCTCCCTTCCAGCATCGTCCCCCCAGTCCATTTCCGCCTCGCGCTTCAGCTCCTCCCCCCTCGACGACGACGCCGCTTCCTTCTCAATTTTCCTCTCCTCCCTCCGCTCCGACCACCCCCTCTTCAATTTCGAGAATTTCGCACCAAACCCCCCCTTCCCCGTCCCTATCGCATCCCCTTCCAACGTCCCCCGAAACCCCAATACTCCCCTCCCAGCCCTCAGCCAGGCAATGCCCTCTCCCGTCTTCCCAGCCATCTCCGCATCGATGCCAAAAAACCTACAAGCCTTCGCACGACACACCCGCGCCAAACTGCGCATGTAATTGAGCAAATCCTCGTCAACCTTGGAGTCGTTCCCTTGGCCACCGACAGCACCGGCGCTCGAGAGAGCCTGTTCCGCATACTCGGCTGCGCGCACGCACAGGCGTGCAAAGAGCAACGTACGCACTTTCGGGATATCGGGCGGTTTGACCATCCATTCCGTGTCGAGAGAGTTTCGCGCCTGGATACAGGCAAAGAGGTAGGCGTCGTCCTTGATGACGGCAAGCAGCGTGGCTTCCGCGAGGGCTAGGGTTGCGAGGGCTGATTGTGTGGACGGGTCGAGGTCTGGAATGGGAATTGACGAGGTGTCTGGTCCGGCTGGCGAACTAGGTGTGGATGTAGATGTAGCTGTAGTTGAATGTTTATGGAACTTGGAAGTCTGCGGGGGAAGAGTTGTAGCCGCGCACAGGCCCGAGAGCGAAGACGAGGAAGCCAGAAACGTATGTACACTGCTGGCCTGCAGTATATATTTGGTCGCCGTTTGCACAGCCGCCGTCTTCATTTCTGGCGTAGGCGTTTTGTTCGCATAGAGCGTTTTCAAATATCTAGCCCGCCCAAGGTTGGCCAGGACATACCCCAGCGTCGCTAGCACGAAGGCAATTTCAAAGTCCAGTCCGCGGCCACGGACGCGAGAAGATCGACCCAGTCCCACTTCACCGCGTCGCAGACGGAGCAGCGAAGAATCTGACGAGAGCGTGGTGCGCCATTCGACCTCGATCTCAGAACGGAGGTGGATCTCGATATGCTCTGTGCCGTGTGGGGTAGGGTCGGAGCTGAGGCTGTGCGAGAGGGCGAAGAGGAAGGGGATGTAGTCATTTAGAGCGGTGAGGATAAGCTGTAGGTGGTCTGATTGCTGAGCAGGGGAAAGGCGCTTGTGCTTCTTGAGGGCGAGGCGGAGGGCATGGCGGGCCGTGGAAGCGGACTGGGGGAGGGAGGGGTGGGTGGGGGAGGAGAGATAGGACTGAAAGGATAGGTGGGAGGTGGTGGGGAGGGTAAACGAGAACACCATGGCTATTGGTGTTAGGTGAGCGATGGTATTGGTTTATTAAAAACGAGCTGTAGAGTTATTCTGCTCATGGGTGTGGTGTGGTTATTATGTAGATGAAAGGGGGTTGGTTCAGATTGGAGATGTTTATCTACTCACTCCCCACAACGAAATCATACTTCTATGTCCTAATGCAAGAGCCACAAAATAGTACTGGAAAGAGCCACGTATAAATATCAACGATTGATTTCCTGAGACATACAGACGGGAGAGATCCCGTATATTTATATACAACTATGTCTCGCTGTTTCAATGCTGGTAGTTGAATGGTCCCTTCTCCTCAACAAGTCCATTTCGCCATCTCTGGTATCCTTCCCTGTAGCAGCATGTCGCTAACTGTTGGGGAATATGGCTCTGTATAGAGTTCCCTACGACTTCATTGGTTCCGTTCCACCAACTTATCGCCACACAACCCTCTCTCCATTTGCTATTGGATATGTAGAACATCGCTGAAGGGCTCCAGGTAATTTAGAAGCCGTCATGTTTCCTATCTCGATAATTTGTCGCGTGAGAAGAATTTTGTAATCGATTGTTCTGTCGCAGTTCCTCCGCCCCCCACTATTTCGTTCAAGCAGCTCGAATCTTGATGGAGATTCCAATATATCCAATAACCATGTTCCGTCCGAGTTGGCATGAGACTTTGCCTCATTCACGTTGACTGAGTGTCGTTTTGGGGCTTGTGAGTTACTGCTTGAAACAGTCCGCCTTGTCTAGGATAGCGCCACGATGGCAGGAGGTTCGTTCATACGAGTACTCAAGATGCTGCGTAGGTAAATATGGATAATATGTATTAAGATCTTCCCGATCGATATATAGGAGACGTTCATATTTCCATCTCCACCACATCGGACAGACTGCTAGGGACACTGCTCATGACGGACGAAGCAGCTTCGGTGCTCGCTTCTCTCGATCGGATCTGCATCCCCCAAGCTTTTATACTTTGGGCTCCGCCCTCTATCACAATGGGATGCACCTCTCCGCTTTTTCCGAGGACAGTACCTTGATACCGCGATTCCTCGCCGGTTTTGCTATGCTTTTTCTTCAGCGCTATGATGGCCACATGTGTCAGCTTGAAAATCAGCTCGAAAAATGCAAACAGAAAGGGGTCATATGCTCTTGTTTCAAAACATAAACACTTTTCACTAGACGTACCCGTGAGGTAATCCTCCTTCTCGAGCGTGTCTTCATCCACTACATCCCCTTCACTGGGAAGGAACCCAGCTACCCGTCTAATTTCCTTATTGACTGGTCCCGAAAACCAGGCCATAAACGCCTCGAGTCCGCGCATATCCTCTTCACCCCTTAGCACCTCCTCCGAGAGAGACATCTGGGGTTTCAGGGCACCTGCATCCCGCAGCGCCATAATGACGTCGTGGAGGTTTGGGATAGGGATCTCATCGTGGCTATTGTTGGCATGGTCGCTGGTGAAGGAGGCAAGGAGGATCAGATAGCGAGCGGTCAGGTCGGTGAGTGTGTCAACGACCGCGGGACTGGCCGAATGGAAGCCTGCAGCACGAAGAATTTGGATAACTGGGGGACGTAGTAAGGTGTGGTAAAGATTGGGCGCCGACATCTTCTGCCATAGAATACCTAAGTATCTGCTGCGACTCCACAGATTTGGAAGCAGACAGAGCTGGGGATGCGGAGTGTCTGGAGGTCAAAGCTGGGACTTGACATCGAATGCAGAGTCGCACATTCACATTCGCATTCACTTTGGCATTCGCATTCACGTTCACCTCAAGCTCCTAGTATATCACTCTCCCCAGAAACAGCGACAACAGCACCGCATCTACTATTGAACAAATGATTGTTGACTATTGATTGTTGGTTGTTGTAGCTATCGGTATGGCCGGGCCTGGATGACTCAGCAAGGGTAACTATCCGCTAAGCTCAATTAGGCAAGAGAGCGCAACCTCAGCTCCAGCTCCAGCGGGTAGATAGATAACTGCAGTTTTAACAACAACCCATCGACAGCAATATAGGACAACGTTCCATAGTCTCCCTCTTTTGCTGCTCGCAGGGAGGCAGATTTCCATTTATTGTTATATACTCAATAAGTTCCTCTACGGCAAACTTCACTCTATACTACGATTATAAATTATTAAGCCCCTTTGCGATGCGCAGGAGGGCTTAGGGTCCATCGCCATGTCTTCCCGACCGATGCTCAAACTGACCTTCAGCAAATCAAAGGTTGATCAGGTTACCAAATCCGCTTCTTCTCCTCCTCCTCCTTCTACTCCAACTACACCTGGAGGATCCTCACTCCCCAAACTCAAATTCAAAATTGGTCCAAAACCAAGCGCTGAATCCGGCCCCGCGGCCTCTGCTTCCAAATCCTCCAAGAAACCCAAGGCCTCCCGCTCCAAGGCCTCTCAGGATACTCCACGAACAAGTGCATCGAAGAAACGAGCAAGGGAAACCTCTGGCCATGATGCGGGTATTCGCACGGCAGCTAGAGGGTCGGGGACTAAGGCTTCCACTTCATCTAAACCCCCAGCTGTAAAGCGCATCAAACTCAGCACTAGACCACCGCCGTCCATTCGTTTGAAAAGCAAGGGAGAACCGCTTTTCCGACCAAAGGGTGTGGGATATGACTCTGAGGCATCGGACACAGAAAAGGACCCCGCGTTGGAAGAGCAGTTCATCCTCCGCATGCAGCCAGGTGAGGATTGCGATTACCTCCGCCAAGCCGTGACGGAGAAAAGGTTTGGACCTCGAAGCCAAGGTGGAGCCGATATTAGCTTCAAGTCGTTGACAAGGGATGGAAGGCGCTCTGTTCTCACCATTCGCGGACGCATATATGCGGCATCCCTCGTCGATCTACCATGTATCATTGAGGGCATGAAGAGCTGGGACAGGCGGGGCTGGTATAAATCCGCAGACATCTGCCAGATGCTTCTTGTCCTTGGCCGCGTGAACTCAGAGGAAGAAGCACGTACCTATCCACTACCCAAGGACGTCGACGAATCCACCTTTCAATACGCGCATGGCATCACCCCGCCGCTCCGTTGGGTGCGCAAGAGACGGTTCCGCAAACGGATTAGCAATAGAACCATTGAGGCAGTCGAGCTGGAGGTTGCGCGCTTACTAAAGGAGGATAAGGCAGCGGAGAGCCCGCCTGAGTTCGAGATACTGGATTACGCGCAGTATCTGCGGGAAACTAGTGCCATGAGCGAAGATGGCGCGAGGTATAACCTGGCAGGGCAGGAGTATGATGACGAACAGGATGCTGAAGGGGAAGAGGACGAGTACGGCATGGATGGCTACCCCCCACCCTCAGCGCAGGAAGAAGGTGGCGATGACTTCGAAGATGAGCTTGCTGCTGAGATGGAGGCAGCACTTGCAGCTCATGCCGATGCCCCTGGCCTCGCCTCTGGAACTGCTGGAGAAACGCCTATGCCCATGACGGCTCAGGCAGCAGTGCCGATAACAAAAATAGAACCCGGGGCCGAGATGGAAGGCGAAGTTGACGGGTACCCTGAACCCGGCACGCCCAACTCCAAACTCCAAACACCAGGCGAGACGTCTGGTGACGAGGACGAAGACGATGAAAGTGAGGAAGGTTCCTCAGGCGACGAAGCAGATCTAGACGAAGACGCGCTAGAGCAGCAGCGACAGCTAGAGCAACAGCGGGAGGAGATTGCAGAGCTTGAGGCTTTGGTACAAACCGAGACGCTCAAATGGGAGAGCATGGCCAATCCGATATTGAAATCGAAGCTTGGCAAGCGGGTACAGAATCTTAAGCAAGCGCTAGAGTTGAAGAAGGTTTCGTTTGGAGAAGGGGGTGAGGATGGGTAGATCCCAAATATCGTCGGGCAAATTGCGCTGGCTAGTTTGTTACCTTGTTACGGATTATTGGCGTTTATAGTACCTATACTCATAATGAGGATATGGGGCGTTTGTTAGTGGGAATGGCATTTTTATGGAGTTTTGTCTCGTTTTATTCTTGCTCTTGTCTTTATATTTATCAGAAGGGATGGAGTTTCAGGGTCACCCGTTAGTAACTAACTACTCACTCCCCGGAGTAAGGAGCGATTTATTTTTTATGCAGATATCATTGGCTACGGTTGAGAATAACCTATCTATCCTTGAAATCCAGAGAGGGATATGATCGTGAGCAGTCTATCCTAGTAACGTCAAATTCCTATATCTACTATGTGCGCCGTATGGGGCCCCCCGTTTCATCGTTAGGTTGGCGTACTATACAACCGCCCAGCCTTCCACAGGAAGTAAAATTGCATGCAAACAGTGTTTTTCGCCGCCAGCCCTTTGCAAGAAGGAATCAAGCTCAATATATAGCAGCTCTGTTTATGGGCTGGCTGTTGGGATAAAATTGAACATAGCCTGATGGAAATCCAGCACAATATAGGGGAGGAAATGGTTTTGACTCTGATAGAGCTTCCTCAGTTTCTTTATCCTACTCCAAACACTATGAGCATGGTCTCCTGTATTCACTTGAATTGAAGGGTTAAGTCTTGACACTTCTGTAAAATTCTGAAAAACATATAGTATGTGTTAAGCTGTCTCATTGTCCAGCCCCCCCCTTTTTTTTGTTGATGCAATTCACAGTGTTTGTCAACATGCAACAAGAACATGTTCTGTCTCATTTTACCTTCACACTCAAGATACAAATTCTTTCATCTCTTTACTACTTTAGTTCTCGGTAAACAAGCATTTATCTCAATTGTCATCAGTTCATCAGCAAACCGAACTCACAGAGACAAGAGGAAGAGTGGAAAAAGTGGTATCATGGCCATGGCAATAGCTGCAGCTCATAAGAAGGCTAATATCCGCGTCTCTGGCTTCTTGACAGTCCCACAGGAGGAGATTGAGTAAGTACTCATGCCAATTGTCTACTTGTACCCTTTTGAACCAATCCCTAGTTATTTGAGAAAACGAGAAAGACAATCAGTACTATTTGCATTTAAACGTCCCTCTTCATTCTATCACTCGTCCCATTGCCTGGAGCTTCCGCTCTCTAGCTCAGTCGAGCGGTTAAATGGCATATGCTCTGCTTCGCAGCCCCTTTGCTTCATCTTACTATAAGTTCACATCAAAGGAGAAGAAAAAGGACGAGAAGAAACCAATGTCACTAATGGTTCCATTGTTGGTAAACAGTATGGGCGCCTTTGCAAGGATGCCTCCGCCTGTCCCAGTGGAGGAGATGAGGATGCCCCTGACAATCCGCCAGCGTCGGTGAGTCCTGCTGGTTCCTTATTGGTAGTCTCAACCCTCCTTGCTTTGCCTACCCTCTTTTGTGGTAAAATACAACCCTTCTCTACGACTAGAGGGCTCAGGGGAAGTGGAGGAGACAAGGGAGGCGAATGGAAGCGGTGATGTAATCTGCCGATGCCTCTGAATAAGAAAATGGCTATGAGACGCAGACTATGCATACGTGGAGAAGAACTAATGGGGTCAAAAGGAAGAAGAGTGAGATGCTGACTATGAGGGATCTCACAGTCGCTTTCCCAACAATTTGGCAATTGTCCTTCCAGACAAATATGGCCAATCATTGCCTCAGCTTAGGAGTCAAAGTCACGACCGGCAGGTCGAGCAGAACCACCAGAACCAGCAAACCCAACAAGACCATCGGGGCGAGCAAGACAAACAGGCCGAGGAGGATCATCGGGCAGAAAAAAGCGCGGAGGCTATGGCTGCAGAATGGATGAGCTGGCTCAAAATGATGGTCCCGGACACGAATATCCAGTGGTTCGTGACGGAGAACAGGGACGTGATTTACAGGTTCTATGTGAATTATCAGGTGAGTAGGAAATCGAAAGAAAGAGAAAGAAAAGAAAAAGAAAAAGAAAAATTGAAAGCACAAGACCCAACTTGCCCCTTTTAGATGCCAGATTGTCTTTTGCTTCTCAATCTTTCTATTTCTTCATACTACTTGTATGTTGGGGAGGAGGGGGGAGGGGGGTGAGGGAGAAATGCTAGGTCAAAAAGACAAGCACAATCAAAACGAAAAGTGAAAATAGAAAATAAAATAAAAGCTGATGGGTCTAAATAACAGATCACACAAAGTCTCTGGGACGAGTTCTCAAGAGGAGATCTGATGTATCGCGGATGGAAGACAGGGGCGCCATCTTCATCTCTCACCAAGTTACCCATCGAAATAATTACGATGGTCTTCAACGAGCTTGATGTGCCCGACCAAGTGTGTCTAGGCCTAACAAACAAAACCGCAGCCAATATCACCCGTCACCTGAACGGTGGGTACGGTGTGCTATACGACAGCTCCATGCGGCTGCAGATCCTCTTCCGGCTGGAGTCGTGGATGACATACGAGCGACGGCTGTGCATGGCCTGCGGCAAATATTTTCCTCTGGACCCGCTCTTCTGGAAAGAGAGGAAACGCCAGGGACGGTGCAGAACGCGCAGCATGGTTTATGGGCGTGTGGATGCGGATTTTGAGTTTCAGGATGAGACGTGCCCGGAATGCACGGCGGCGATTTTGTGGGGCAATATTGCGATGACACATATTGGGATGCAGATGGCTATTCGTTGAAGGGAAGTTGTGTCAACGGGGGGGAAACCGACGGAGCACTTGCAAACGTACAATGACGGGGGTATCTAGAGGGGAGCGTATTTTCTCTGTGTTTGGTAGATAAGGGGATGGTTGATTGTGGTACTGTTACGTAGTCGCGGTCCCTTATGCCTGCATATTGGAATATCGGTCGTTTCTCCGCTTTTCAATATTGCCGTGAAAACATCGCAGAGGGGGGTTCTGAATGTATAGTCTCGTTGTTTCGAGTTGATGAGGGCGTAAACGAAGGACCCCTCCGATAGTCGTAATAAAATGTATGTCCTGTATGTACAACAAGTATACGCGATATCTTCCCATGTGCATTATATATTTGATACCTTCCTCACTTCTTCGCTCTATTCGTACTCCGCGTTTTCATAGGTGCCTCTAGATTGTCCGTAAACGGTCGATACGGCGCCGCGATGAAATGTTCTGGCGCTCTCTGCTGCGACGAGACATCATCCCTCTGAGGCTCCCCGGCCGATGGACGCCGTCTCTGCTCTTCATGAAGCTTATCCAGCGGTTCGCCGACGATGTGATACTTAGCCCAGTTAATAGGGGGCATGCGCACGACGCTCTGCGGGGCGGGGATTTTCCCAAAAGCCGGACGTGGGTGCTCGTCGACATCCATAGCACCTACATCTGTAACACTAGGCGTACTTGTATTCGCTTGAGCCATTATCCCGTCTGCATGTCCATCTTCATCACCATCTTCAATGCCGGTGGGATTGAAGATATCGCCAGACTTGGAGGTAAGGGTGCCTTTGGCGAGTTCCCGCGCAAACGCTTCCGGGTGTGCCACCGCGGCTTGTTTCAGATGATCAAGTGTTTTTATGTCACGGACTGCCTGTTGTTTTTGGATCTGGAGGATGGAGATGGCGGAGCGCAGGGCGATGGCGTCTGGATTGTCACTCTCGGATATGGGGACGGGGGCAGGCTCAGCCATAAACGTGGTGCAGGGTTAGATGCGGGCGGCGGAGCCGTGAGGTATTATGGGTGTTATTATTTCCGGAGCTAGTG